GATGTCGGCGACGGTGACGACGATGCACAGCAGTAGGTACCATGTCTTTCAACATGGCTGGTGCTGTGATCGGGGTGTTGGTTGTGCACAGGGACAATATCCTCCTGTATTCTATTACGTAGGTTCTGGGCAAACTTGCGTGTGTGTGGGTGCCCAAGCTTGAGCTGGGCAAGGGAGTGTTGACAACAAAAGGCCCTGCCCTCGTTTGGGCGAAGCCGACTTCGTTGTCCGGCCTACAAGATGTGCAGCAAGCTAGGCTTTCTGTTCGGCACTGCCTTGGAGGAGCAAGTTGGCTTGGTTGGCCGACCTCAGTGCAGCAGACTTCTACGCAACCGACTTTGGTGAAGCCGACCACTGCGAAGCCAACTTCAACGAACGGCGAAGCCGATTTCGTAATCGATGCCGACTTGGCTTGGGTAGTCGACTTCGTCGAAGATGCCTGGGATGTCTTGGGTGCTGCTTCCTTCCATAGGCCATGCCTAGTCAGTGTAGAAAACTACTATCACTACACCATGGATTTTCTTTGGAGCGGAAGGTCGACGTGCCTGACATTCTCCTCCCGTGGCTAGTCGTCATCCGCACCCAGCGCACCCAGCCCGTGCCTTGCCTGTGGTCCGACCGTAGTGGCAAGTTCGGCTCCGGTTGTCTTGTCCAATTCTGTCGTGCAGAGGGCATTACCCGTGCGTACTCGCTCCTGGACTCGCCACAACAGAGTGACGTGGCTGACTGCGTAGCATTGGCTTGGTCACGGAGATTGGTCGTACCTCCATGATTCATGTCAGTGGCTGTTTGCAGTCTACTACGCTGCGCACCAGCTTAGCCTGTAGCCATCCAACGGCCGCAGGTTTTGACGACCCTCCTCTGGAATGCGTCTTCTGGTGTTGCATCTCTGCTTCGTTTTTAGGGCTGCCTTGCTCACGTCCGCGACCCTCTCGTAGACAAGCTCTCACCCCACACTCCTGTGTGTCTTTCTTGATTTCCCCCTTAACGCCCCTGATTGGCTGTTCTACCACCTTTAGTTTTACCGCTTCCTCCGCTCTCGTGACGTCACTTTTGACAATTCCATCTGCTTTTACACTCGCTTCCCTCACCAACATACTCCGGTTCCCCCGCCCTTCCTCTTCTTTGCACTCCCAGTCCTCTACTCGCTCCCCTAGCCCAATGTCCTGGCCCATATGGTGTGTCGCACATCATCCCCTTCCCTCGATTAGGCCTGTGGAGAAGTTTGCTAACTCTGGAGGCCCTATACGCGAGGGTGTGCCTCCTTCGCCGCCTCTCCCCCGTCCCCCACGCCCGCTGCAGCCATTGCGCAGTCCCTGCCGTCACCACATTGTCCGTGTAGTTGCCATAGCAGCCTTCATTGTCATCGCGCCGTCGTCGCCGCCGCAGTTTGTCCCTGTGGACTCTGGGGGTGCTGCCGTTGGGCATGTTGTTTCTAAGGGTGCTGCAGCTGTGGGTGCTGTCTCTGGGGGTGCTAGAACTGGGGTTGCTCACGCTAAGAGTGCTGGTTCTGGGAGTGCTACCAAATTAGGTACTGGGGGAGCGGTGGGTGCGGGAAGTCCGATTCCACAATGGCAACAAGTGTTACCGCAGCAACAACCGACGTTGCCGCCGTCGCCCGTGTCTGCACTTCGCCTTCTTTGTCTTTCTTTTGGATCGGCTGACCAACCACCTGCCTATCCTCTATCCTAGGGGATTGGCAGTATGAGTTGGATCTCCTTGCGGCCGCTGCTCCTCATCTCTCCACCAAGCTGCTAACCCTTGAGGGTGACCCAACCTCTCTTTATATCCCGATCCCCCACAACTATGTTGAGGTAGTCTCGGGACCCTAAGCCTCTTAGTGGATGGCATCCATGGACGTAGAGTTGCCATCTTGGAGGTCCACATACCCGTATGTCAATGCAGATCCTCTTTTTGGTGCGAACGTAGTCGATGCCATGTGAATCTTCAAGCTGAAGCGACCAGCTGGAGAGCCGCGTGAGTTCAGGGGTACTGCTGCACACTACAGCGCAGCGCAACTACGCGCTTCACGCGCTTGAATCCTCTACTGCTTTTCTCCAGGGCAGCCTACACGAGCAGATCTTCCTCCGCCGCCTACCTGGCTTCACTGTATTATTTCCTATTGGGACCCAGTGGAGCCTTCGACGACCCGTCTACGGTCTTCGTCATGCTCCTCGCGAGTGGCACAACACACAGCCTACTACTTTGGCTAACCTCCACTTCTTACCATCCTCTGTTGACCCGTCTCTCTTTCTCAGCTCTTGCTCTATTCCGTTTTGAATTCTACACTACATAGACGACCTAGTCTTCTCTACTACAACAGAGTCGCACTAGCCTCGATGAAGGTCGTGCTACTGAGGAGACACTCTTGCCCTAGTCGAGTTGCGTAGCTATCTTGGCCTGCAGATCACTAGGGACAAAGCATCGCGCACCATCACACTAACTCGGCCACACTTGGTGCAGCAGCAGATTCTCAGTTCTCCTCTGCATCCCAATCCTCTGCCTGTTGGCGGCACGCCCTCGACTAGGAGGCACCGACTCCTCTGCCTATTGGCGACACGCTCTCGACTAAGGAGCACCGACCTGAGCAGTGGCTGGTTGCTAAGAGGGTATTGCAATACCTGGCTTGGACATAAGGCATGGTGTTTTTTTCTCGAAGAACAACAGCTAGTCGCACTCAAGGGACACGCAGCCGTGACGTGGGCAGATGACATCAAAACTCTCAGGTCCTACTAGGGCTACCACCTTGGCCTCGGTGCAGGAGCAGTCTCGTGGAGGTCCACTCGCTCGTCATCAGCAATGGTTGCTTAGGAGCTCCAATGGCTGACGTTCTTGCTCACTGACTTAGGTGAGCTGCCCAGCTCTGCCCCTGTCCACTTCGCTGATAACAGGGCAATTGTTTTCATGTCTCAGGAGCCTAGACTAGAGCGCGGAGCAAAGCTCATCCAATCGGGGTACTTCCTACTGCATAAGCTGCAGCAGCATGGCCAGACAGGCGTAGTACACTTGGCCTCAGGGGGCAATGTTACTTGCAGAAAGGCGCTCCCACCTCATAATCATTAGTACTTGGCCTTGTCCCAGCAGTACTTCACTTGTACACTTTGTTTTTCTTAGCATTAGTACTTGGCCTTGTCCCAGCAATGTTACTTGCACAAAGGCGCTCCCACCTCATAATAATTAGTACTTGGCCTTGTCCCAGCAGTACTTCACTTGTACACTTTGTTTTTCTTAGCATTAGTACTTGGCCTTGTCCCAGCAATGTTGCTTGCACAAAGGCGCTCCCACCTCATAATCATTAGTACTTGGCCTTGTCCCAGCAGTACTTCACTTGTACACTTTGTTTTTCTTAGCATTAGTACTTGGCCTTGTCCCAGCAATGTTACTTGCACAAAGGCGCTCCCACCTCATAATCATTAGTACTTGGCATTGTCCCAGCAGTACTTCAGTTGTACCTCATACACTTTGTTTTTCTTGCTGGACTAGTAGTACCTCCCTGAGTTGTTTCTCATTTTCTACGCAATGTCACTCACCCGGCCCAGAGGGCGTGTCAACGTAAACATATACATTTGCATGTGTACTTTGTAGCTAGGTTGGGTCGCATTATAGAGAGTATGGGATGTTGGATATAGGGTTTACGCACACATTCATAGCCCACACACTATTGAGCAAGAGAGAAGACACAATTTTACGTTGCACCCTGGACATGCATCACCATTCTCTGCATTGATTGAAGTCCACACACTTGTAACCTAGCCCATCTAGAGCCAAAAGAATTATCTTCTGTTCCCCATCCTTCCTCTCCTGTCTCGTGCTACATGTCGTCTCCACACATCTCTTGTCCCATTTCTCAGCCCTGGCTTTGGCTCCTTTTCTATCTTTTTTTTGTTGTGGATAAAATGAAATAATTTTCCTATCCTAAAACATGATGTCTTTATCACCACTATGCTTATTCCCCATTATCCATCAAGAACACTTCTACTGGATCAATGGTGCAGGTTCCAGCATCAGTGGCACTCACAGTCAGATGCTGAAAATCTTCTGCATATCCCATCCTTCCTACATCCATAGCCTCGCCCCCAACATCCAGTCCTTCACCTGTTGCTCCCATAAAAGGGACAGAGCACGCAGAATTCTCAAAGGCGCAACAACCTATTTTCTCAATGTGAGAAAACGGTGTAGTGAGATCCATGGCAGCAAATGCAGAGTGCTGCTCATCTTCAAGGAGCAGCAGGTCCACTGAGGAGTGACGGAGAGGAAGGTCCAGATCTGCCATGATATGCTGCTGGGCAGAACACAGTTCGCCAGAAGTAGGCTGGGCAGCAAACAGCTTCTCCGCACAGAGCATTCCCAGACTAGGCTGGGCTGTGCACGCCTGGTGCTTGCAATCCCGTTCCCCACTGGGCTGGTTCACAATAAGCTGGTCCAAACTAGGTTGTTTTGCACTGAGTTGATCCGCACTAGGCTGGTCCAGATTAGTCTGTTCCACACTGGGGTGCTCCGCAGCAACAACACTGCACGTCACTTCGAAGCCTACTTCTGGAATGTCCTGCATGAGAAAAACACCTGTGCCACTGCTGACCGCACCACCAATCTCCGTGCAGATAGTTTTCCCAAAGACAGCATGCTCCAAGGCTTCAACACAGCCCTGCTCTGTGCTGATGAACCCATGCAAGCTGGTTGTACAATCAAAGAAAGTGGGTGGAGAGGCGGGAGGCGGAAGGATCAGAACTCCTGCAGCAGCACAATTAGCAATTGGTGCAGCAGAGTCAGCAGAAGCGCCAGCAGCAGCACAAAATCCTCTAGAAACGTCAGCAGGAATGCTGGTGATAGCTGTGAGGGTGGAAGCCATAGAAGCAGGTGTTATGGGGGTAAGAGACTGTTTGAGGGGTGGGCGGGCTGGCTGGAAGTGCGTGAGGGGTACTTGCTGCTGCCACTGCATAGGATGCAACTGCTTCTGGTGGCGGTGGTGGCACTGCTCTTGCTGCAGCACTAATTGCAACTCATGCTGCTGCATGGCATGCGACTGTTGCTTCTGATTCTGCTGCTGCTGCTGCTGCTGCTGCTGCTGCTGCTGCTGCTGCTGCTGCTGCTGCTGCTGCTGCTGCTGCTGCTGCTGCTGCTGCTGCTGCTGCTGCTCCTGCTGCTGCTGCTGCTGTTGCTGCTGTTGCTGCTGCTGCATGGCATGCGACTGCTGTTTCAACTTCTGCTGGTCATCGCGGGCAACATCAGCACTGGCAACAGCAGCATCGCTGGCAACACCTACAGTACTGGAAACACCAGTAACACTGGCGACACCTTCTGCACTGGCAACACCTGCATCATTAGCTGTACCAGCAACACAGGCAGCACCAGCAACACTGGAAGCAACACCCATACCACCCACAGCACCCATACCACAAGCAGCAAAAGCACCACTTGCAGCCCTCAAATCACCCACACCACCAGTGTTTCCCACAGACGGCTGGGACTCAGGGGTTGAAGAACTGGAAAGCCGCAGCTCCAAGGGGGAAGATACGCTGTGGCTTCGAAACATCAAAGGTGCAGGTTCGGAATGAGGCTTATGATGGGACTTGAGTAGAGAGTCAGAAAATGAAGGGCTGGAGATACTGTTGGCTGTGTGGTTGATTTCCAAGTCTGAGGTGCGGCTCCCAAATGTTTGCGACTTCCTCCACTCCATCATGGGGAAAGGTGCACCTGTGAGGTTTGTAGAAGGGCTCCATGCAGCTTCCTTGCTCCTCCTTCCAGCCATCAGATCCAGAGAGCCTTTTTGCAAGACGCGGGATGCATGGCACTGCTGCCGCTGCTGCTGGTGATGGTAGCACTGCTCTTGCTGCTGCGCTACTTGCAAATGATGGTGCTGCATGGTTTGTGATTGCTGCTGCTGCTGCTGCTGCTGCTGATGATGATACTGATGGTCAGCACCAGAAACACCAGCAGAACTGGCAACACCAGCCTTACCTGCAGCACCAGCAATGCTGGCACCACCAACCGGCGCATTGCTAACCACGCGACCTGCACCACCCTTAGCACCCACAACACCCATACCACAAGCAGCACCGGCATTACCTGCAGCCCTCAAATCACCCACACCACCAGTGTTTCCCACAGACGGCTGGGACTCAGGGGTTGAGGAACTGGAAACCCGCAGCTCCAACGGGGAAGATACGCGGTGGCTTCGAAACATCAGAGGTGCAGCTTCGGAATGCGGCTTGTGATTGGTGGTGAGTAGAGAATCGGAGACTGAAGGGCTAGAAATCTTGTTTGTTGTGAGATTGTTTGGCAAGTCTGAGGTGTGGCTTTTAATCGCCTGCTGCTCCCTCCACTCCTCCATGGGAGAAGGTGAACTCGTGGGGTCCGCAGAAGGGCTACATGCAGCTGCCTTACCCCTCCTGCCAGATTTCAAATCCATATAATTTTGTTGCCAGAAGCCTGACGCATGGTGCTGCTGCTGCTGACCCCGCTGCTGACCCTGCAGCGGCCCCTTTTGTCGCTGCTGCTGCTGCTGCTGCTGCTGCTGCAGCTGCCGCCGCCGCTGTCGCTGCTGCAGCCGTTGTGTCTGATGACGCTGACGCGGTGGTCTGACACATGTAGAAGACACGCGAGACATGGTAAACCCATACTGCATGCCATGGTCATGCATCCAGAGCGACTCAAACGGGGGCACCATGGCAGGCGCATGCTGCATCATTTCAGCATGCCAGCTTGTGAGCATGTTTGCAGCTGGGCCTGCCATCATGTTGGGTACCTCCACCATCTCCTCTGTTTCTTGTTGGGATGCATTCCCACGTGGCATCATCACTTTCCCAGATACTGCGACATTGTAATCCCAGGTGGCTGGAAGGGTGGAGTGTAGCACATCGGTTGAGGTGGAAGGATCAGGGGCAGCAGGAAGGGTGGAGTGTAGGAAAGAAGCAGAGATGGAAGGGACAGTGGAAGGAGGAAGGGTGGAGTGTTGCACATCGGTGGAGGTGGAAGGGGCAGAGGCAGCAGGAAAGATGGGGTGTAGGAAAGAAGTAGAGATGGAAGGGGCAGTGGAAGGAGGAAGGCTGGAGTGTAACACATCGCTGGAGGTGGAAGGGGTAGAGGTAACAGGAAGGGTGGAGTATGGGAAAGAGGCAGAGATGGAAGGATCGGTGGACGGAGGAAGGGTGGAGTGTAGCACATCGGTGCAGGTGGAAGGAGCAGAGGTGGCAAGAAGGGTGGAGTGTGGGAAAGCGACAGAGGCAGAAGGGACAGAGGAGAAAGAAGCAGAGGAGAAGGGGACAGAGGGAGAAGGGGCAGAGGCAAAAGGGGCGGTTCTGTCGGAGCTGCTGCTGCTGACAGTGGAGCTGCAATCAGGAGAATAAGCTCCATTCCGATCAGTGACTGCTGACGCTTCTGCTGCTATGCACACCCCTCCTACCCCACTTCCTCCTCCTCCTCCTCCTCCTCCTCCTCCTCCTCCTCCTCCTCCTCCTCCCACTCCCCCTTTTCCTCCTCCTCCTTCTCCCTCCTCTGCAACTTCAACTGGCGACGCTGACCCTCCGTCTGCTTCTGCTGCCACCACACCTAAAGCGGCAGAGCTCGTAGACCCCCCCTTCTCCACCTGTCCTGGAAAAGACTCCGTAATCCTTGGAACTCCCGGGCCATTACTCTCATCAATATTACCTGCCTCCCTTCCTGCCGTTTTCGTCGTATCTGCTCCTAGCTCGAGAGGAATAGAACTCAGTACTCCCCCTCTTTCCGTGATATACTCTGTCGAAAACTTAAGCTTTGCATTTGATCCTCGGAGGTCGAAAGCAGCTTCATCAAACGCCCGAGCAGCCTCCTCTGCACTGGTAAACGTGCCCAACCACCTGCGGACCCCAATAGTGGTGTCTTTGATCTCTGCAACGTACTTAAACTCGCCTCGCTTCCTCACTCCCCGATACTTCCCTTCCTGGTTGTAGTTTCGGTTGCGCGTCAATGTCGTGCGCTTGGCTCCAGAAGCCGATGGTCTTGCACCAGCAGCAGTCTCACGTTGCAGTAGATGTGTCTGTAGCAGCGGCTGTACCTCCAAGACCACTGGCTTAGCCTGTAGCTGTGGCTGTAGCTTTTGAGGTTGTGTTGTATAGATTGGCTGTGGTACAAACTGCTGTGCCATCTGCTGCTGCTGCATCTTCCGCAGTTTCGGCTGCTGCTGCTGCTCTGGTTGCATGGTCTGCCTCCGAGCAGGCTGATTTCGCGTCATTGTCTGTTGTTGCCGTCGTAATTTAACCTCCGCTCTCCCACCCTGCCTCTTTTCGTCTGCTTGTGGGACTACAAAACTACACCTGCTACCACACCAGAAGTCGCAGCACTGGATCCGTCCCCCCGAAGTCGCTACTGCAAGAACGGCTCTTGTGGATTTCAGGTCTGGAAAGTTTCCCCGGAATCTTATGGCTCAGACGAATTGTCTGGGTTGACCCTTTTATTTTCGAAAAAATACCTTAAAGATGGGGCAATGTGGCCCAGAAGTGGCCTCTGAAGCAGATGTGTGATCGGCTCAGACTTTATATTTGTGATACGACAGCAATATTTCTCCGTCTGGGTGGAGGGATGAGGGGAGGAGGGGAGGGGGTGGATGGGTTGAAAGGTGCACCTCCCCAATAAACCCACTTATCCCCAAAGAGACAGTGGGGTAAACCTGTCCCAAAAGTCGCTCAGAGGTGTTAATACCTGCGGTTTGACTCAATTCGGAATTGGCCAGAGGAGTACGTGGAGGCTGGAGCTGTTTCAGAGGACCAAATATCCAAAAAAACCGACTCCACTCCAATCTCAAATGGAGAAGCGCGCGCAAACAGGACGTTATATCAGTCGGACGACTCAAATGAATCCGGAATGATATTGTAGAAAGTGAAGGAATGCTGCGCCGCCTAGTAGTAACAGCATTACGCTGTCTGCCGCAGACCCTCGGAGCGGGAGGCGCGAGCCAAAGCTCAAAACTAGCCAGGAAATTGTAGTTGTTGCTGATTGAAGGGCGCGACACCAGAGCTCTCGGAGACTAACTCCTATTAAGGATTTTCATAGAAGTGAAGCCGAAGACCAGGACAGCTACTATAGTCTCTAGTGGGACGGTCCAACACTTCGCGAAATTGCAGCGGACCCTTCAATCGTCTGTCACAGAAAAAACACTTCTCGCTTCCGGGCAGTCCGGAAAAACAAACGCTAGATGGGTCCGATTCAGTCCGACTTGGTCCGGAAAAAACTTGGTCGGTCGTCATCGCCACGTACCCGCACGACGGAAAAAGGAAATACACCAAGGTTTTCCCTCCACCAACCGTAAGCCAAGTTACTGCTGGTGAGGATTCCTCCCAATGTCCACTCGGCTAGACCGATGAATTGGCTGCTATGCATTCCTTTGTTACATGCTTCCAGGTATAAATGGGGGGAAAATACCGTTGGTTGACTCTTCATGTGGCTGATTGGCTAGCCAAAGGGAAGCCTGTGCACTTTCGCCCTTGCTCGAGCCATGAATCTTCAGGTGGCTGATTGAAATTTGATAATGTCCTGTTTTTTTTACGACGCTTAGCCAACAACCGTAAACCTTTTGACCAAGTTTGCAATTGGTACCACTGGAACCTCCAAAATCAGGAGGAAACTGGAAAATCGTGTGAGAGGTGGTAATTGCATAGCATTAATCTGAAATGCTTTCCCCAAAGTGTGTTGTGCACGGGTTCCTCCGTGATTTGCAAGGTGTACACCAAGTTGGCTCCGCGGAACCATGATTTCGTAACACAAGCGCGAGGGGCATGGTCGACTTCACCATCAGCAAATTTCATCACAATCTCCTTATCATCGTTGTGATTAGTGTGGCCTTCCAGTGTTCCACGCGTTGGTGCTTGGTTGGCGCAAAATGTACAGCGTGGACAACCAAATGAAAAGGTTGGTTGCAGTCCGCGCGTTTTGGTCCGTGGGTTTCGATGCGCGGATTGGAGTCCGCGGGTTTCGGTCCACGGGTCAAAGAGCTGACATGATCCACGTCAAGTTACAAGTGTTCCGGGTTAGAGGCCTTCGCTGAAAGAGTCCCTTTCCCCCCCTGAGTAGAATTTTCCGATTTCCTACGGCTGGCCCGATCCCTGTAGTCCCTTTTTTGGAAGGGAATTTTGCAGCTTGACCGAATCATTGCACGAATCAGCTCCGCAGCCAATCAGAGGCTCCAGATCAAACCAGCCCAACTTTCAAGGAAAAATATGAAGAAGGGATCATCGATTCGATATTTTAACTTTCAAATGGTAAGTATTTGTTCTCTTGACCGCGAATACTTCTCAATCATGTCGCGCGTTCTGCAACGCGATCGACAATGACATCTCATTTATCTCGCTTACAGGGTTGAACAGAAGTTTTTTACCTACTATTCGACCCGCACCCCATAATTGATATTGTTTTTTTCTGCCCGTTAGTCATGCGACATTGATCAGTGTGGGGAACCGTGCGACTGGAAGTTGAAGCAAGCGCGGTCCGAATCTACGTAAATGCCAAAATCCAAAAACTAGTAGCAAAAAACCACTCTACATGCAGTTCTCTTGAACGGGACTATAAGTATCGCGTTTTGCCTGGGATTTGAAGGTTTTGACACATAGTCCGCGCGCGGCGTGTTGATCCGTCGGACTATAAACGAGAACATCTGTATCAGGAGTGTGAGCAGCACGAGTGTCACCCCCCTGCGATCACGAGTAGGAAGTTCAGAGTGTAACCTCTAGCTTTTGGGTGTCTGATTGATCAAGCAGATAAAACATTCAACGTTTCTCATCAAGCAGAAAATAATTATGTGGAACCAGCCCTGAAAATATGCGGTGTGTTGCTCCATACTTTTGTACAGTGTTTTTTTTACCAGCTTGCCACAACGTTGGCAATTTCACACGATTTGTCGTGAGTTGGGAAGTAACCGTCTCCACCATCATTTCATGATGGCATTCTCGACCTGCTACGAACCCCAGAAGGCAGGTCGGGCGGGTTCTCGTCGCAGCATCTCAAATACACAGTTCTGAACAGTTCTTGCCTCTAGAATCCTCTTCCTTGTGGTCAGAAGAACTATAGTGTCCATTCTCTGAACGTCATCCATCCAAGGCGCTGTCAGAATTTCCAAACCAGCACTGTTCAGAACCCAACGTTCCAAACACTTGACGATCTTTACTGTAAGTGTTTTGATTTTTCACTGTGTAGTGCGCTTTTGGAAACTTTTTGTGCTGTGTTTCCCAACGTAGGGGCCAAGACACCGTTCTCCAGAAACGACAAGAACATTACTTGTTGCGGAGAAGTGCAGATAGCCGCAAGAAATTAATGCTGGCAGCAATTAGAGAGGACAAACAGAACAGCTAGAACACAAGGTTCCAAAGTTCCGCATTGGTCACTACACATGATACTCGTTACAGTAGCATCGCGCCATCGATGGAGAATACTCTTTACAGTGAACCATTTTAAGATAACACAATGACAAGGCCGCCATGGCCGCCATGGGTCTTCCGAGAGCCCAATGTCCATCAATTTCTTATCAGTTAGCAATTAAAAAGCCTAGATCTGTGATCAGACTGACATTACGAACTCGGCGATACGCTTTTTGTGTTCATACAGCAAACATTGTTATCGTTGGTTTATTGTCAGGCAGTTTCAAGGCATGCGCTAGCTTGGAATTTCCAAGGACTAAGGACGCACCCGAGGTCTCAGGAGATATCAGGGGGACAGCCTGGCGTTATGGGTCTCTCAAGGCGCTATGACAAGCGTTTCAAGACTATATTTACCCCAACAAAAGGAAGTCCAGACACAAAGCAACAAGGGAGCGTCCCGTGCTCAGCCTGCTATCAGTTTCATCAGCCATCGCAAGGCTTTTTAAGTTTCGTCATCATCACACGATGGCTCACTCGAAGGCCTTTGCGCCTGCTGCTGCTACTATGGCTGGTGGTGGCGTCCTGAACAAGAAGAGGTCGGAGCCGGTTACGCAAAGGACTCTCTTCAACAGGGTCCATGGTCCGTTTAATGCGGAGGCTGTTAATGCTCTGCCGGCAACGACTTCAACGCTGCGCATTAACGATCCGCAAGGGGATGTGAAGGACAGCAAGGGATCGTCAAGCACGGATCCAGGGAACCGTCTAACCCCGTCGGCACGGGAGCAGGAGAAAGGCAAGGAAGCAATCAAGGAAGTTGATGAGGATGAGGGTTACCTAAGCGACAACCCCGACGAGCGCCAGGATCCTGAGGCGATCAGTGACATCGCGGCGCAGGCGAGCTTCGCTATCACGCTGCTCGTATCTTTCAAGTGGATTGAGGAAGTCCCGCGCACGATTGACACGGTCAGCGAGGTGCTCCGTCTGTGGGAGGGGCATATGACAGCAAATGTGAGGACCACGACCAAGTTTCATAAGCTGGCGTCGGCGTGGCTCTCTAAGGAGCATTTTGGCCGTCTACAGGTGGTTTTCATCAACGCTGCGGATGCAAACTTCATGTGGAGCAGAAAGGTGGACCATTTCACGACGACCAATGTGCGGCTGACACTCGGCTGGCATCACCCGGAAAACCAAGAGTACCTGAAGGAGCGTTCGGCGAGGCAGGACGCCATTGAGGTGCTGCTGAAGATGTCCCGTCGGTCATCTCGCCGAAGAAGGTCAGGAAGAGCTTGGTGACGGTGACCCTGCTTAAGCGCAAGCGCACTGCGTTCCTGGAGGGATCAGCCTTTCAAAGGGTGGTGGATCCGGTGACGGGGTCAGACACGGACAAGATAAAGGGGCTGGTGTACCGCCACCCCGGGGATAAGTATAAGTGGTGGCACAAGGTGACGGACAAGATCCAGGGCACGGACCTGCTCGTCTCCTTCCCAGCACTCACCTGCTCTTTTTGCAACGGCATGCACATGTCCTGTTTTCATGATGATTACGTGACAGAGCGGCAGGACAATTTCACCAAGTGGAATTTACCTCTCGCACGGGTGCATGGGATGAATGGTAATAACTGTTTGTCGAGCATTGCTTCTCAGGTTGTAGCAGCTGCAGGCGGCTCCATATCAACGGCTCATTTTTGTATCATCTACCTTTTGAGCAGCGGCCTCCCTGAAGCTGACCTCAGCTACAAAGGCCATAATGGAAGACCCAGCGATGGTGTTTACCTCCACCAACGGCGCGCGGGAGGAGTGGCTGTGCGTTTAGGAGGGTTGCGAGAAGGCCCACGGGGTCACCTTCGCGCAGGCAGCGGATTATGCGGCTTCTGCCTTGCATTGCACGGAGCGTCTCAAGGCGGGCTCGGCGACACGTCAGAGCAAGGGGAAGCTGAACCTCCTGGCAGTCCGGAAGGCGTTCGGGATGTAGTAACGCGGCTGAGCTTTCCTGGTGTCCGCGTGCTCTGCGCAGAGGAGGGCAGCGAGAGGTCAGGTGACATGGTTGAGGGGAGGCAGCGTTTATTAGCATCAGTGGTGTTGCCTTATCAGTGTATGCAGTGCAATAAAGCCCGTGGATGCGTGGGGATCAAGTCACAATGGATTAATGGATAAACAATCTCAACTCACCATCTGCGGGGTCAACGTGAATGGCCTCGGAAGCAACGGCAAAAGAACAAAGCACTGGAGCTGGTTGAGGAGAGCTGCAGATGTAATGGTGCTCTAGGACACAAGAATTAAAGAACACAATTTCTGGAAAGAGATCAAGCCAAGGGCCTGGGCAGCATCGAGCACAGACAAGGGCGCAGGAGGGGTAGCGGTCATGTCGTTCAGAAGGCACTTACGATTTACGGATGTCATGACCCACCACATGGGGAGGCTGCTCGGTGTGACCATGGAGGGGGGTGAGACAGCGTTCTGGCTGATCGCGGCCTACCGCCTGGCGCAGCCGGGCAATCGGACGAGGTTCCATGCAGAGCACCTGGTCCCTTTCGCCCAGGCTCAACCAAAAGGGATGCACCTGGCACTGACAGGGAACCTCAACATTATCGCGGACCCGGAGCTGGATAGGTCTTCACACACGAGGTCCAGCAAGGAGAGACTGCTGGAGGCCTGGTCGGCCTTCGACCTCAAGGACGTCTTCAGGGCGCTTAACCCTGCGGAAAAGCAATACATGTTCCGCGCACGACCATCAGACACCAGGACCAGGATTGATAGGACTCTGGTGTCTTCCTCGCTGCTCGGACAACTCACGGAAGCGCGGCATGTGTGGGTGCCGAAGAAGCTGTTGGACCATCGCTTTGCAATACACATGAGCCTGGCTTTCAAGTCGGAGCACATGGGCGGGCCAGGGATCTAGAGGTTCCAGGCGACAGGGGCGAACCGGAAGGGAGTCAGAGTCGTTATTCAAAAGGTCATGAGGGGGACGGTGGCGCAACGTAGTCGGACGCTGGAGCAGAACCTCATGCGGCTCAGCACAGCTCTGTGGGCGCATGAGAGGGAAGAAACAAATAGGGTTACGGCAACAAGGAGGCACCTGGAAGCAGATGTCACGAGGCTGAGCCAATTGGTCATGGCGGGGCCCACGGACGCCGGCACAAAGGAGAGGCTGTTGGCGAAGGAGGCCCAGCTGGAGGGGTACCTGGAGAGCGAGAGGGAAAGGCTGCAGGTAATGGCCGGGCTGGACCTGGAGCTGCACGAGGAGGTCCCTTCGCCGTACCTATCTGCCAAAGTAAAAATGAGAAAAGACAAGACGGTCATCAAGGAGGTGGAGTTTAAGGGGAAGCGTTACCACGGATTGAAAGAAGTGCTGGAGGCAGCATCAGAGCACTTCCGGGATGCGTTTAGAGGGCAGGCGGTCCCGGGGCCACAGGAAAGAGGAGATATAGAAGTGCTCAGAAGCTTACCGAAGGAGGCGATGGCGAGACTGAGGGCCCCGTGGACAGGGGAAGAGGTGAAGGAGGCGCTGGCGGGGTTGCCGAGAGGCAAGTCACCGGGTCGGGATGGACTTCCACCGGAGCTCTTCAGAACGCACTGGGACCTGCTGGGGGGACCGCTGGTGGAGTTCGCAAAAAAAAAAGAGCGGACATGTTTCTTGGACGAGTCGATCACCACGGCAGTTACGGTCCTGCTACACAAGAAAGGGCCGACGGATCAATTGGGTTACTACAGGCCCGTCACCCTGCTCAGCACGCTCTACAAAGTCCTAGCAAAGTTGCTCGCGAACAGCATCAAGAGGGAACTTTACCTTGTGGTATCAGAGGACCAGCACGGGTTCATCCCTCGCAGGTGCTTGGCGGACGCAGTGTCGGTGGTAGCGGACGTGGTGGAGGCGGCAGAGAACGGGGGGGAGGATTGGTTTCTCCTCATGGTGGATTTTCAGGAGGCATACGACACGGTGGCGAGGCCGTATCTTTTCGAGACGATGAGGAGGATGGGAATACCGGAGGAGTTTATGAAGTGGACAGAATGGCTGCACCGCGGCTCGGGGACGACGGTGGTGATAAACGGTTGGCTCGGCAAAAGGGTGGAGATGCAGAGGGGGGTGCGGCAGGGCTGCCCATTGGCGCCATATCTTTTCCTGTGCACACTGGAGCCGTTGTGCCTGGAAATCAAGAAGAAGGGCTTGGGGGTGAAGCCGAACGGGGGAACGAAGTTAGCGTACGTGGAATATGCGGACGACACAACACTCATTTTGAACGTGGTCGAGCAGCTCAAAAAGGCGTCAGAGGTCCTGGAGCGTTTCGAAAGAATGTTAGGCCTGCGCACAAACACGGAGAAGTCAGTAGTCATGCCGCTGGGACGAAACAAAGGGTAACAGTCGGCGGAAGGTGTACCTTTCAAATGGGCAGAGGCGGGGGTGACAGAGCGCTTGCTGGGCATCTGGATAACGCCGACAGAGACGCATGCCCGTCCTGGGAGAAGGCATGGGATCAGGGGAAGGGGGAGTTGGCTAAGTGGGAAAGTCAGCACCTCCTCACAGCGGGAAGGGTAACGGTGATCAACGCGTACATAATGCCAATTTTCATTTTCCAGGCACAAGTCTACCCGCCGTCGGAAGAGCTATGGAAACGGATCCAAAAGACATACGACAACTATGTCTCGAAGGGTCAAGCCACGGCGGAGAAAGGTTTTGTACTATGGAGCGGGGAGCTGGCGAGGCTCCCAAAGAAGGAAGGGGGTTTGGGGCTGGTGGACCCTAGGGCGGGGATAGACAGCATGGCGGTCAGGATGGTGGCAAAGATGCTGGCGGAAAGGAACGCGACGAAAAAGTGGCTGGCGGAAAAAGGCAGCGGCGCTGCTGCAGGAGGAGGTGACGGTGTATGCAGATCCAACGGCGGGGAAACATTGGCCGGGTGGCAGCCGGCGCTGGAAGGCGGCAGTGGAGGCGTTCTAGGAAACGCCGTACGCGCAGCTGCCGGAGCCGGGGAGCTGCTGGGAGGTTGAACAGGAGAGTTTATGTTTCAACCGCAGGATCATGTTTAGGGGGAGGAGCCCGTATGGCAATCAGATGGGGACGGAAGGGATACACAAGGAGAAAATTGGCGCGCTGATATCAGAGGACCTGGGAGGGGCGTGTGCGATAAAGGACAAAGTGAAAGCAAGGACGGAGTTAGACGGCGTAGCAGCGGCCAGGTGGGCGCTGATGGCGTATGCTGCGACACCGAGAGAGTGGAAGGAGATTATTGCGGCGGGGAAAACAACGGAGAAGCTGGTGGCAGCGGCGGCGACAGTCAGAACATTTTTACCACGGACGCATGAGTACCTCTATTGAAAGGTGGTGGGGGTGAAAGAGGAGAAAGTGGCGGTGACGAGCCTGGAGGTAACGAAGGAGGGGAAACTGGAAGAGAGGGAGGCACTGGTTAAGGCGGCTTTCAGACCAAAACACGTCGAACTGGTCGCAATCAGGGGAGGCAGGGTGCTGGGTGCGATGGGCGCCCCGGCGACAAGGCTGATGGAGTCTAAGCTACTAGACGATGACGGGGCGCCGGCTAAGATTAAAGATATTAGACGAGTGCTGGCGGGGCCTGCGAAGACATCATGGAAAAGGACGGAGTGGGAGGCAGCATGGGGAAAGAAATTTGACTGGAAGAAGGTGGAAGGCAGGAGGGACTCGTTGGCAACACCCATCGGGGCAAGGGATGTGCTGCTGAGGATGCACAGCCTGAACCTACAGGATGCACGCTCTTCGTGTTCTCGCTTCAATCCGTTGAAAGCAGCTCCATGCTCTCATGCTTGCTTCCACTCTCCCGCACTCGTCACGCACTCCCCCCATCCACTTGGCGTCCACCCGCCTATCCCCAACAACCCCTTCCAACCAACACACCTATTCCCACCCACCCCCCCTTATTGTCCCCCTCAGGACATCCTGCACTGCCACGACTGGTCGTCGGCGCCGGTGGCATGGCTGCACGCGGAGAGCTACAAGCAGTACGGACTGGGCAACGCGCGCACGGTGTTCACCATCCACAACCTCGAGTTCGGCCAGGCGCTCATCGGCCGCGCCATGGCCGCCTGCAACATGGCCACCACTGTCAGTGCTTCCCCTTCCACTGCTGCTGTCCCCATTACTGCTCCCACTATCACGATTCCAGATTTTCTGTGCTTTCATGCCTCATACCGTGCCATGCCACTCATTCTTCCACCTCCCCTCGCCCCATCCACGCCCTGCAGGTGTCACCCACGTACACGTGGGAGATAGGGGGCTACGGGGCGGTGGCAGCGCACCGGGGCAAGTTCCACGGCATCCTCAACGGCATCGACCCCGACATCTGGGACCCCATGACCGACCGCTTCCTGCCTGTGAGCCTCTCTTTTGAGCTCGCCTCAACCTCATTCTTGCGTACCAAACTATCTGTGCGTCACAGGTGCATGCGCTCCTTTGCATCCACACAGGCACCCCTTCCTGTCTCCTCGCCTGCCCCACGGCCAGATGCGGTACTCATCGGAGGAGGTGGTGGAGGGCAAGCGCGCCGCCAAGGACGAGCTGCGGAGGCGGCTGAACCTGCGGTTTGACGACCGCCCCGTGGTGGGCATCGTGACTCAGCTCACTGCACAGAAGGGCATCCACCTCATCAAACACACCATCTGGCGCACCCTCGATCGCGGGGGCAGGTATAAGAGCTGAAGCACGCGGTGGGAGGCAGGTAGGAGGGTAAATGCCAACGGAGAGTAACTGCAATAGGCGAGTGGAAGGTGACGGTGTGTGCATGCTGCGTTGTGTGTTGCGCACCATATAGTTCTCTGGCCCAACCCTTGTGCTCGCATGTGCCTGTATGTGTGTGTATGTGTGTGTGTGTGTGTGTGTATGTGTGTGTGTGTGTATGTGTGTGTGTGTGTGTGTGTGTGTGTGCGTGTGTGTGTGTGTGTGTGTGTGTGTATGTGTGTGTGTGTGTGTGTTTGTGTGTGTGTGTGTGTGTATGTGTGTGTGTATGTGTGTGTGTGTATGTTTGTGTGTATGTATGTATGTGTGTGTGTGTGTGTGTGTGTGTGTGTGTGTGTATGTGTGTGTATGTGTGTGTATGTATGTGTGTGTGTGTGTGTGTGTGTATGTATGTGTGTGTGTGTATGTGTGCGTGTGTGTGTGTGTGTGTGTGGGGGTGTATGTGTGTGTGTGTGTGTGCGTGCGTATGTGTGTGTGTTTGTGTGGGGGTATGTGTGTGTGTGTGTGTATCTAGGTCTGTGTCTATGTCTGTGTGTGCCTGTGTGTGTGTGTGTTTGTGTGTGTCAGTGTGTGTGTCTGTGTCTGTGTCTGAGTCTATGTTTGTGTCTGTGTGTGTCTGTGCGTGTGGGTGTGTGTGTTTGTGTCTGTGTCTGAGTCTATGTTTGTGTCTGTGTGTATCTGTGTGTGTGGGTGTGTCTGATTTTGTGGGTGTGTCTGATTTTCTCAGATAAAAACACCAAAGCCACATACTTGCACCACAACACGATTGCATCAATATCTACAACCTTTGCTAGGTACACGGTCCACTTGATTATTACTACAACAGCACTAACTCCTGAGACGTCAACGGACTGAACCAAGCGAAGGGTACTATGTGACTGTAGTAGGTAGACCAAGTATTACATCTATGTCATCCTTAGCGTATGGGTGACACTCGCACCAGAAGTTTATTTATTCTGCAGATATGCGGTTTTTTCATATAAAAAAAGGTAATGATAATCATAAACGTATAAAATTCACATGTGTAGATCTATATGAGTGTTTTACACCAAACAACCTCAAAGTCGATTACTTTCTTAAGATCACATGGCGAGATCACCATAGAGTCAACATTTCAATGAACTTCGACTCAAACCCACGAGTTCATGGAATGGACATGAAGAAGGGGGGATGGCAAACTTGGTCAGGACAACATTTCGTGATAATTATCAAGGCATGAAGCAATGGTGAAAAAATGCATGACGGTCTTAAGGGTCCATGGTAGTACCAAACAGGTTCTGGTTTGATGTGACACCTTGAAGTCTAGCGTAACAAATAGATTGGGCAGGCTACCAGATTATAGGGGCAATAACACGTGGGGAGGGAAAAAAAAAATGAATGAAGAATATAGCACAACAAAGGAAGTACAAGAGATGTCACCATGAGGGAGAGAGAGTGGCAAAACTGACAAGTGGGTGTGCTTGCAGGGGAAATGAGAGGATGGATAAGGCTGCTACTTAGAAAGTTCAACAATAAAACAAAACAAAAAAAATCCAGAGAGAAATGGGAGGGAGGGATGGAGGAGGAGGTGGGTGTAGTGTGCATGGGAAGGGAAAACACATGTTGGCAGATGGGCACCATGAAGGGCATGCGAGAAAATATTGTGCGGACAAAACACAAATGGCAATGAACGATACATGTGGAGGTGAAGACGCAAGTTGAATAGGGAGAGGGGTATGGGCAAAAAGAGGCATGGCGCATGGGCAACATGGATGGGCCATTATAGGTGACGGAAACCACGCATGACAAGGGCGACCAATCTGTGAGGAAAGGTGTCGAGAATCACTCATGGGAAATATTTCGAGGGGAGAAGAAACCGTCTTAACGATTTTCCATCGATTGTCTTGTTTACAGTGATTAAGGATGCTTTTAGGCTTTAGCCTAGAAGCTACAAGTAGTGGTGGGGGGGGGGGAATGAGCAGGCTATAAATCTGTGATGCAAGTAAGTTTGTATGCTAAAGTGATTCCAGAACCTTGGATGCACAGCAACCACAATATGAAACTGAACTGAACGTGACTAGAAGTTTGGTCTTAATGAAAAAACAGATGCAAAAAGAAAGCTAAATGAAAAAACAGAGATGCCTAATACATGCAATTTACCCCTAATGCTTATTCCCTATGCTCTCCATTATCCATCGAGAAACTCTCCAACGCATCAATGGTGTAGGTTCCGGCGCCAGCAGGGGTGATTGCACCCATGTGACTGAAATCCCCGTCCCCTGTATACAACAACCCTCCTGCATCAGCAGCCTGCCCCCCACCCTCCAAACCTGCACTTGCTTCTCCCAAACACGCCATGACTGGGGAGGCAGATGCATGATTCTTAAAACTGTGAAAGAGTGCTCCCTCGATGTGTGAAGGTGGGGAGATGAGGCACCAGGGAGAAAATGCAGAGTGCTCAGCATCTCTCAGGAGCAACAACGGATCTGCTGAGGGGAGAGGCAGAGGAAGGGTCAAGTCTGCCATGATATGCTGCTGGAAATTCAACTGCTCAGCACTAGGCTGAGTGGCACACAGCTGGTCTGTGCTAGGCAGGGCAATAGCACCAGCATCATACACAGGCCTGAGGCCCTCTGCTGCACACTCCTGCATTTCGACATCACCACCACTGCCGCCAGCACCTCCAGTCTCGTAGCCGTTGATTCTCTTAGTGCCATCTTGCTCTAAGGCATCAATTCCGCACTTGTCTGTGTTGTCGTATCCATGCAAGCTGGCCGTACCATCGAAGTTGGTGGGTGGATAGGCAGGAGGGAGAAGGGCACTGTGCGATTGGGGGACTGCCACCTCAACACCAGCTCCGGCAGCAGTGACAGAAGCAACACCAGCAGCACCGGTGGCAGCAGCACCAGTGGCAGTGCCAGCGGCAAAACTGGAACCGATGCCTCCAGCAGCTGCAGTAGAGGTCACAGCAGAGGTGGTCGGAGCAGCAGGTGTTAATGGCAGAGTGGACTGACTGCGGAATGGCAGATGAGGCTGAAATGGAGTGAGCTGCTCTTGTTGCTGCAGGAGTAGGTGTAGCTGTTCCTGCTGGTGCACCAACTGCAATCGATGTTGCTGAATTTACTGCTTCTGTTGTTGATGCTGCTGATGATTTTGCCACTCTTGCTGCTCCTGATGTTTCAGTTGCTGCTGCTGCATCTGCTGCTGCATTTGATCCTGCTGCTGCCGCCGCTGCTGCTGCCGCCGCTGCTGCTGCCGCCGCTGCTGCTGCTGCTGCTGCTGCTGCTGCTGCTGCTGCTGCTGCTGCTGCTGCTGCTGCTGCTGCTGCTGCTGCTGCTGCTGCTGCTGCTGCTGCTGCTGCTGCTGCTGCTGCTGCTCCGTCTGTGTCTCATCCAGCGTCAACCTCTGCTTTCCCTCAAGTTGTATCTGCTGCATTTCCCCTTGTTTGGAGGGCCACCAAGGCTGCTTCCCCAATCGTTTGTGCAGCTCTTGAGCATACTTGCTGGCTGGAAATCTTGGCTGGAAGGTTGACGCATGATGCATGTCCATATCCAGCTGTCCTGATCCCGTTGGCCTCTGCTCATTAGACTGTGACCTTCCCATCCTTCGCAGCGGGATTGTTGAATTCGGTTTGAGAGTGCGGGCCGGGGAGGATGCAATCCCAGCCACACCGGGCACAGCAGCACCACCACCACCAGCCACGCCAGCTCCACCACCACCAGCCGCGCCAGCACCACCAGCAAAAGCAGCAACACCAACAACAGGAACAACACCAGCATCACCAGAAAATCCAGGACCACCAGGAATAGTGGGAGCAGAATTCACAGTACTCCCACTACCCGCATTGGCAGCTGCAGCAGCTACACCACCACCAGCAACACCAGCGCCAGTTTCACCGCTCACAACACCCACACCACCTATGTTTCCCGCACATAGCCGGGAATCAGGAGTTGACGTACTGATAACAGGTGGTTCCAGTGGCGAAGAGAAACTGTTGCTTCGGAATAAAAGAGGCGCAGGTTCTGAACAAGGCTTGGAATGAATCTGAGGTGGAGGCTCGGACCAAGCAGGGCTGGAAAGCTTGGAAATCGTGTTGCCACTTTCCAGGTATGGGGTGTGGCTTGTAGACATCTGCTGCTCCCTCCACTCTTCCACGGGAAGAGCTTCACGTATGACGCCTGCAGAAGCACACCGTGCAGGTGCCTTGCCGCTCCTGCCACCTTTCAGATTGAAAGAGCTGCGTCGTGCGAAGCTTGATGATTTGAGCTGCTGCTGCTGCTGCTGCTGCTGCAGCAGCAGCATCTGGTTCTGCTCCTCCTCCTCCACCTCCTGCTTGGGCTGCTGCAGCTGCTGCTGTTGCTTCTGGTGGTGCTTCTCTTGCTTCTGCTTCTGCTGCTGCTGCTGCTGCTGCTGCTGCTGCTGCTGCTGGTCCTGGTGATGCCGACGCACGTGCGGAATCACAACAACTGAAGATCTGCGGGACATGGTAAAAGCATACCGCATGCCATGATCATGCCTCTGAAGCGGCCCAAACGGGAACGTCACGGCAGGCGCATGCTGCATCATTTCATCATGCCAACTTGGGAGCATGCTTGGAGCTGAACCTGCCATGCTGCATACCTCCACCACCTCCTCTTCTTCCTGTAGAGTACCATGCTCAGCATGCGCCATCACACCCCCAGCCACTTCCACACTGAAACCCCATGACACCGCTTGTGGTTCGCTTGATGCTTGCGTAACGAAGCACTCCGGGGCTGGCATTCCTGCTGTTTGCTCCGAAGCCAGCACATGCTGCCCTGCTGCCGATGTGTGTTCCCCTATCGCTGCACGTTGCCCAGCTCTTTGCTGCCTGGACAACGCACGTTGCCCTGCCTGTCCCCCTGCCAGTGCATGCTGCGCTGCTGCCAAAGCCTGCTCCCTGGCTGCCGGTACTGGGAGTCCTGCTGCACGACCAGGAGTAGCCCCTGCTGCTGCACCCACCACACCTTCCCCTCGACCCTGTTGACCCCTTTGTCCCTGCTGGCCCTGTTGACCCCATTGACCCCGTTGACCTGGCTGGTACAATTGGGATGATGGACCAAATGCTGCAGACATGGCTCCTTGGACTGGCATGGTCGGCTGGCCTGGCTGCGTTGCCATCATGTGGATACCAGTACCGTTCTCGCCCTCAGAGATAGTGCAGCCTCCTTGGCCCTCAGAGATAGTGCAGCCTCCTTGCTGCCTCTCCATCCCTACGGTTCTCTGGTTTGGCAACCCGTGGTTCGAACGACTGCCTTCGTGAGCCGAATCCTCAGTGCAAGCCAGCTGGGAGTGCTCATCAGATCCTCCCACTCCCATCATCATTGCCGGCCCATCGTCTTGACAAACCAGGCCAGGCAAGCGCGCATCTACTCTTGTTCTCACTTCCATCGCACCCTCCTGCTTCATCGCACACTCCTTCTCCATCGCACACTCCTCCATCGTGCCTTCCCCATCAGTAGTCTCTCTGCTTTCATTGCTTTCTTCATCTGAAAGCATCTCCCACTCTTCCACTGCCTCCTTGCCTTTCTCCGCCTCCTTACCAACCCCACTCCTTCCACCCCCTCTGGTTTCTTCTATCCCTCCCAGCTGCTGAGCAAACTGCTCTGCTAGTTCAGAGAACAACTCCCTCTCACCGTCCGTCAAGCCCTCAAATCCCACCTCCTCTAATCCCAACCCTCCAAACCGTTCCAGATCTGCTCCCATTGCATTGAACCCCAGCAACCCCTGTCCATTTACCATAGCACTTTGTATATTTAATTCAGCGCTACTAAACACTGGGTTGCCTTCATGGGGATGACCGTTGGTGAGTGCAGCTTCAGGAACTGAGATATCAACAAAGGTGGATGGGAGGGCAGAGACAGTGGCGGAGGAGGCAGAGGCGGAATTGGCAGAGGTGGAAGGGGCGGAGGAGGAGGAAGGGGCGGCTAAGGTCGAGCTACTACCGCTTACAGTGGAGCTTCTATCGGGAATGTTTACTCCTGCTTTGCTCCCGCTATCACTCCCTGTTGACGTTTCTGCTGCAAAACCTCCTACTCCCTCTCTTCCTCCTCCTCCTCCTGCTCCTCCTCCTCCTCCTCCTCCTCCTCCTCCTCCTCCTCCTCCTCCTCCTTCTCCTCCTCCTCCTCCCCCTCGTCCTCCACTTCCGCTTCCGCTTCCTCTTCCTTGTCCTCCTCCTACCCCTCCACCTCTTCCTCCTCCTCCTCCTCTCAGTCTTACCCTGCCTCTTCCTCCTCCTTCCCCTCCTCCTCCTCCTCCTCCTCCTCCTCCTCCTCCTCCTCCTCCTCCTCCTCCTCCCAGTCTCACAATTGCACCTGGTACTAACACTGTTCCTGTAGCCCCTGATTCTGCACCTGTTTCCTTTTTACATGCTGCCCCACTTGTTCCCACTTCGGACAACCTTTGAGGCGCCGCGAAGCTCGCTGCTACCACCCTACTCGTTCCCTCTCCAAACGGCCTTTGAGGCACAGCAAATGTCACTGCTCCGTCCCTGATTAGTCCCTCTCCCTGCTGCAGTGTCTGACCCACAACCTCTCCCATCAATCCTTCTCCTGCGGACTCTTCACCATATTCTACCTCCTTCCCTGTCCCTTCACAGCTCCTGGTACTACTGCCCTCCCTAACCTGCCTTACCAGCCCATGTGTTTGCCCTCCCATGCCAATTCTTCCACCATCCATCCCTGCATCCCTTCCTGCTGCTTCCATCCCAGCCGTTGCTCCTAAAAGCTCTACAGAATCAGAACCTACTACCCATCCCCTTTTCTGAATATGCCTTGGGAAGTTAAGCTTTGCCTTTGATCCTCGGATACTCAAAGCAGCTTCATCAAACGCGCGAGCGGCCGCCTCTGCGGAAGGAAACGTACCCAGCCACCTGCGGAACCCAGCCTTGGTGTCTTTAATCTCTGCAACGTAACGAAATTCTCCGCGCTTCCTCACTCCCCGGTACTGCCCTGGCTGGTTGTAGTTGCGGCTGCGTGCCATTCTGGTGCGTCTAGGTAAACGCTCCAGTGGCCCTGATGGGCCTGATTGCTCTGATGACCCTGATGTCCCTGGTTGCTCCAATGGCTCTGTTGGCTCTGCACCAGCGGCAGCCTCACCTTGTTCTAGTGCTTGCGACAAGTGCGGCTGTAGCAGCGGCTGTAGCTGAGAGGAGAGCTGTTGGATCCGGTGTGGTGATAGCTGCTCTGGCTGAGCCTGTTGCTGAGCCTGTAGCTGTGCCTGTAGCTGAGCATGTAACTGCGGCTGTAGCTGAGCCTCTATAAGTGCCTGTAGCTCAGCATGAAACTGTGGCTGTAGCTGTGGCTGTAGCTGAGCCTGTAGCTGAGACTGTAGCTGAGCCTGTAGCTGAGACTGTAGCTGAGACTGTAGCTGAGACTGTGGCTGAGACTGTGGCTGAGCCTGTGGCTGAGCCTGTGGCTGAGCCTGTAGCTGAGACTGTAGTTGAGACTGTAGTTGAGACTGTAGCTGAGCCTGTAGCTGAGACTGTATCTCTGGCTGTATCTGAGCCTGTAACTGTGGCTGTAGCTGAGCCTCAGGCTGTAGCTGTGGCTGTGGCTGTTGTGGCAGCGCTGTATAGGCCCGTGCTGCAAGCTGCTGTGACATGTGCAGCATCTGTTGTTGCATCTGCTGCTGTGATACCTGCAGCTGCAGCACCTTCTGTTGCATCTGATGTTGATCCATCTGCTGATCTTGCATCTGCTGCTGTGGCATCTGCTGCTGTGGCATCTGCTGCTGTGACATCTGCTTCTGTCGTGCCTGTCGTTGCATCTGCTCTGGTTGCATGATCTGCTGCTGCTGCATCCGCTACTAGCGTATTGCGCTAGTATCTAGGTTTTTTAATTGGACACATTGATTACTACCGCGCTTATCTTTCCGCTAAACTTAGATTTATTCGGGCGACTGTGCTGCCAGATGAGCAACACTGTTCACTTCTTTTGACAGAAAAATATAAAACCCAATCGGAAAGGGATGCCCTCGGGGAGGCATCAGCCCTGAAAACAATGCCCTTTCCCGTTTTTAGGGTTGATCCCTCCCTGAAATGAGTCCAGGTCCCTAGGGGTTTTATTGATTTTCCTGCCTGCCCTAGCAATAACCGGTAGCAATATATTGGGTGCAATATATTGTTACGAAAAAGACCCCGTTAACTTCCAGTCTAACGGATTTTCCTGTTAAAAGTATCGTGCAAAATAGTTGCCCGCAGGAATCTTTGTGAGGCGCCAAACGGAGCGCGGTAAAATACGAATGAAACGAAATCGAAAACGCATTTGATTGTTGCACCCATTGCACCCTTTTTGTGCTGCGTCAGCTGTTACACAGTGTTTTGAGTGGCACTACCAGACAAATTTGCGAAGCAGAACTGGGGTATCGACAGTTTTGCATACCATCGAATAGGGTTACCAGACTAATTTGCATATCTATGATGTTGGCCCGCTTGGGATGTATAGGACCCACGGCGAAGGGCTTGGAATGGCTCCTACAGTGTATTCTGATTGGTTGGATTTTGCGTGATTCACGTTGGGCTTTTGCGTGATTGACGCTGGTCTTGGTTGGCCTTCGCGTCATTCGCGCGTTGCACTTGGTTTGGCTCAGCCGCATACGTGGCGAGTGATCCAGGGAGTTCGGAAAGTTGCACACTTGCTTGAAACTGCGAAGGATGAAGACTTTGAGGAGATCGCATCACCATTGTGCGGTGACGTGGAGATTAACCACTTTTACACAAGGACAAACGCCAGCACCAAGCGCGCATTGAAACTGGCATTGTAACATCTTACGAGACTTCTCGTTATGTGCATATTGCACACTCGCCTTATGAATGAACATACCCATGTGTGTTTTTTAAACATTTAGCAAGGGACCATGACATGAGGACCGGAATACAGAACGGTTCGACGCAGACACATTCATCCAGATCATTCAATAAATAAAATTTTAATCTGTAACACATAATTATTTACAGCTTACTATTCTGGCTAGCAACGTGCTTTGACTGTGGGCCATTGTTGGATTTATTTTCATGTGTAAATGCATGCTAGAATAGAAGTGTAGTATTATTTAGTTTCTCTGTCAGTGGTGTAGCCTCTTTTCCCACCTTCCCTTGCATATATATCTTGTACTGTTGTTGTTAGTGAATCCCCTCTTCCCTCTCGAAACCCTCTCGCCACCCACGCTTTGTTGGAAACAATTAATTCTAAGTGCCTCTGTCGTGTCGAAACACCAAGTCAGAAGCGACCTTTGACCTGACAAGTACAGCGCGACAGCAAGGACACACAACTGACTCGTTACAGAGCAGTTGCCCGAGTCGTCACTGTATCGAACCGCAACAGCAACAGTAAAGTAGTTGCAACCGTATCTATTCGTATTCCTTGTACTCTTATATAATCCTGTATCTCTTTGCTTTAATCAATTCACTTTGCCCTCACATACCAGCGCAAGGTGGTTCATAACTCTTCATTAAAACGCTTCCGCTATTACAACAAGTCCTACCCAGAGTTCAGCCCTGCAAAAATCCTAAGGGTTTTTTCTCAGCCCAACATGGTATGAGAGCTAACAGGGGGAACTCAAGTACTATCAAGTTATCTACAACGTCAGAAGGCATGGCAACACAAAAGGAAAGGAGCTCCTCTAACGGCTCCCCGGGTACTACTCCTACTCCACCTCCTGCCTCTGGCCTACAGACAGAGGAGGGTACGGCAACAAGACCAAGAGCAACTTCTACCGAGACTCCCGCGAATCAACCTGCAAGCTTCGATCAGAACATGATGGAGAAATTTTTCTCCTTCATGTCCTTCTACGAGCAACACCAACAGTCGGCACCTGCACAGTCAAACAACAGCAATAACAACAACAACAACAACGTGACTCCAATGAGCCTTGATGGTTCATCCTACGCACGTGGAAATCAACAGCAGCAACCTACCTTTGCTCCGTACAAGCCCCAGCGCGGCTCCGTCAGCTTTATGCCACAACCACAGCCTGTACCTGGACAAGAGAAGATACTGGACGCACTTCAAGTTCAGTCACAGTTCGCGCACGTCTTAAAACTGCAGACGTCAAGGCCCTTCGACGGAAAGGACTTCTTCACGTGGTCATTCGAGTTCGAATTGATGATGGAAGGCACGCAGATTCTTGGCTTCTTCGACGGATCCCTGCCATACCCAACACACGGCACACAGTACGACAAACAGCAGTACACGTATCAGTCAATGATGGCGTACACAATTCTACTGAGGAACATCACTCCGAATCAGCAGCAGAATATACGGTCTTACCGGGGATACGGCAACTCCGCCGAACTCGCATACAACCACTTGAAGAGCCTGTATCAAGCAACAGACAGCGTAAATCAGAGTCGGTTGATGGCGCAACTTGTCAGTAGATCTGCACTGTGGATGCCCGATTGATCCTAGGGGGGTTACAGGAGTGTTCGCCTGGGGGGTTATGGGCGCACTCTGACCCGCTACTTAAAAAGCCCTTTTATCCCAATGGTCGAGATGAAACCAGGCAAAAAAGGAATGGCGTATATCAGCCGCTGCCGCGAACTACGCGACAAACTCCTTCGATGCGGAGGGTCAATCTCCGAAGAAGCCTTCGTCACAGTCGTCATCACTGGACTTGGTCCTCATTGGCACTCCACTCGAGCTATTCTCCGAGCTCACGGGAAGATCTCCGAAGCAGCACTCTGCGCCGAAATTCACGCCGAGCAGCAAGACATGGACCTGCAAGAGGAGCGGCACAAGAAGAAAACGTCAGTTCCCGAATTTTCGTTCCACACTCAGCGACGCTAAAACAACAACAACAGCCGACATCAACCAAAGCCTGTACCTCCGTTCTGCCATCTCTGCAAGACGTCAGGACATCCGCGCACACACTGCCCGAATCGACAACAGTCAACACCGCCACAGCGACAGCTTCGACCTTCAAGCAGCCAAGTCGCTTCAACACAAGCGAACCCCACCGCTCAAGTTCAAACGACATCAACTGGACAATCTGCACAAGGAGCAAGAAACATCGTCAGTTGTATGGCAAGACTGACCGACTCTTGCATCACCGAATCACCACCAACATACTCACCCGAAGAACTTCTTGACGAAAGCACGCCGCGCCACGAGACACTGGAGCCGAACCCAACGTACGCAGCTATCGCCCAGAGTGAGCCGTCCGGGAAAGATACCTGGTTCTTGGGCAGTTGCTGCGGGCAGCCTATGTGCTCTTTGGGTCGTTTCGTTCAACGAGAACAGCAACTTCACCGCGAAGTCGTCATCACCGTCGCCAACAACCAGAATCTGCGCACACGACGACAAGGAATTGTACAACTTCAGTCGCGAGAGACAAACGTCATTCTACAAATGTCAAAGGTTTTAATTGCGGAGGGACTCGGCTACAACTTACTGAGCGTCAGTCAGCTGATGGCGAAGGGTATCCATCTCGAAGCAGACAGCACTAAACAGGAGTTCAAACTGTATAACGGCAGGGGAGGTCTCTATATCGGGAAGGCAGTGCTGAAAAACAACGTCTTCGTTCTCGACTTCGTCCCGGACCTTGGCACCGCTGACAGCGACGCCATCGTGAACTTTACCTCTTGGACACATCCACTGGATCTTGACCCAGACTTCAGTCCTGGAGGCTTCTAGTACTCGGAAACCATCCCTGAAGCAGAAAGAACAAGAGCTTTAGCGACAATTCAACATTCGGCAGCAGCAGAGACAACATCGGTAGCAGCAGAGACAACATCGGCAGCAGCAGAGAGAACATCGGCAGTAGCAGAGACAACATCGGCAGAAGCAGAGACAACAACGGCAGCAGCAGGGACAACGGTAACAGCAGTGGCAACATCAATACCAATCGCTGGTCCTTCAACGGCACCGATCTTCGTCGATGACACACCACCGACACCCGCGCAGCAGCTAAACCCGGCACCACGAGAAGTTCATCGAAGCGCCAACTTCACCGCCAGCTTCTACTCCAACTCCGACATGTACCGACGCTCACCCGGACACCGCGCCAGCGAACAAATCTGGCATGCACGGATGGGACACCCAAGAAACACAACGTTAAACAACACGATAAGAGCAGGAGTGCTGGACAAAGATTCGCTCCTACTACATGACGGGAGAGAACTCCAACGAGTAAAAGGAACGTGCTTCACATGTCCTGAAGCCGACTTACCGCATTAGCCGTTTGTCCCTCACCACAACCCGAGTGCACCAGCATACGTACCACTTGAAAAGGTGTACAGCGACATCCTGTACAATCGCGTACCAGGACAAGGAGCTTACAACTACACCATCACCTTCATCGACGCTGCCACCCGATACGTTTGGCACCTGAACCTTCCGAGTCGCGACATGGCTTTCGAAGCCTTCGTCGCCTGGCTTCCAGCAGCAGAACGAGAGTCCGGAGTGAAGTTAAAGAGTTTTCAGTCGGATGGAGGCGGAGAATACACCTCACAACGCTTCAAGGACTACCTCGCAGAGAAGGGAATCAAGAGGCTCATCTCCCTTCCTTACGCCCATCAACAACAGGGTGTAGCAGAAAGAATGAACAGGACCCTTCAGAACACCATGCGCAAAACTGCTACGTGGCATGCGGCTACCCAACCACCAGTGGCCCGAAGCAATGGACCACGCCGTCATGCTGCACAACTTGCTCTCGTCATCATCGCTCCCGAACAACGCATCACCGCATCTGCTGTGGACAGGAAAATTGGGCAGCACAAAAATGTTACGAGTCTTCGGCTGCATGGTACAGTACCGACCCCCATCTGCACGAGCCGGCCGATTCTCCCAACGCGCACAGTGGGGACTACACCTGGGCATCGAAAAGAATTACAACGCGTGGAAGATTTTTTACGTCCACACCAAGGAAACAGTGGCAGCACGTGATGTGATTTTCTACGAACGACTCACTCTCGACTCCTACCTAGCCAACGTGGAAGAACAACGCGACCTCACCAGTGGACTTCGTGGAGACCGAGCCTTCGCTTCCGCAGCGGACGAAGCTGACTGGGACGAGTAGAACGTGGACGCAGCCTCGGAGGAAGCCGGACCTCTCCCGTACTGCTCCGTCGATGTCCTAATGGATGACGAAAACCCTCGCGAAAGCGTCAACGCCGAAGTATTTTACCACTTCGCCGACAACGGTTACGTTACACCTGCAGAAGTCAACACCAACGAAGCAGAACGCATAGGGCCCAACTTCATACCTGACCCAGAAGCAGGTGACGAAGCAGCTTATCCCGCGGATACCACACTCCCCCGCTACACACAGACTGGCCTCCAGATACTTGGCCTGGTCACCGCGGTCCACGGCACTGCAATTCCTAAGGAGCCTGCGACGGTTCAGCAGGCTCTGGGAGGGGAGCACAGGGAAAAATGGCACGAAGCCATGGACAGGGAATTGAAGGCACTAGAGGAGCGCAACACCTGGAAAGTCGTTCCCATCAGTGTGGCACGAAACAAGACTATACTCACCGGAAGTGGGTCTTCCATGTGAAAACAAAAGCAGACGGCACCATCGACAAATTCAAAGCACGCTGGGTTGTACGCGGCTTCGACCAGGAACACGGACGCGACTTCACCGAGACATTCGCCCCGATCAGCCGACACACCTCACTACGAATCCTTCTCGCGATCGCCGCCATGAAGAAGAAGAAGCTGCGGCAAATCGACGTCGCCAACGCCTTTCTTTACGCACCCGTCGACGCAGAAATCTTCGTCGAGCTACCGCACGGCTCCAACGGAGAGAATAATCAAGTCTGTCAACTGTTGAAATCGCTCTATGGCATCAAACAAGCTCCGGGACTGTGGCAGCAGTACCTACACGCAAGACTCATCCGCATCAGATTCCGCCAGCTACCTCACGACCAAGGCATGTACCGGCTCACAAAGGGCACCGACTACATTCTGCTGATCGTCTACGTAGACGATTTGCTCTACATCGGCTCAACTGGCGGAATCACCACCTGGTTTGAAGGAGAACTGCATCAAGACCTCACGCTCACAGTCTCATCCACCGTCACGCAATATCTCGGCCTCAACATTCAGGAAGAAGAAGACGCAATCTACCTCAGCGCCGCGAAATACGCCGACACCATCGCTAAACGCTTCGCACTCACACCGACCACCATCTCCATGCCATATCGCTACGCGGCAGGAAACAACAAGGAAGGATCCACTCCGCTAAGACCCGCCAGCATACGCGACTACAAAAGAAAGCTAGGTTGCCTTCTCTTCGCAACTGTCACCTGCCGCCCGGATCTGTCATACTCTGCAAGTCAACTCGCTACTTACCTCAAGAAACCTGAAGCGGGTCACATGGTGGAGCTCGATCGCGCTCTTCACTACCTCGTTAGCACTCCGACGATCGGCCTGACCTATTACAAGAACGGGTCTACAGCACCTAAATTAATCGGCTACGTCGACGCCGATCACGCTGGCGACTCTGACAATAGGCGCTCGCGCACCGGCTATATCTACCAACTCGAACCTATCAGACCTATCTCGTGGCAGTCGAGCAAGCAGGAGTTAATCGCCCTCTCTTCAGCTGAAGCAGAATATATCGCACTTTGCTCAGCCACAAAGGAAGGACTGTACCTTCGCGAACTTCTGGAGGAGGCAAAACTGGCTCAGTTACCTAGCTTCTCCTTGTTCTGCGACAACCAGTCAGCAATTCGCATAGCCAACAAAAATGGTTTCGCGAACAGGACGAAGCACATCGCCCTGCGATATTTATTCGTGAAGGACGAGATCGAGAAGGAGAGAAACGAGCTGTCATATTGCCCCACATCCGAGATGGCAGCTGACTACCTGACCAAGAAGCTCGGAAAGCAGAAGTTCGAGTACTGCATGCTGCTGACTGGATAGAGCCACGTCACCAGCAGCGACACTCCAGAAGCGAAGGGGAGTGTTGGAAACAATTAATTCTAAGCGCCTCTGTCGTGTCGAAACACCAAGTCAGAAGCGAAGCGAAGTATATCGAAGCACCGGCGAGTCAACCCTCGGAGGTTGAGCAGTTGCTAGAGGCTACGTGAAAGTCAAAGGCCAGCGACCTTTGACCTGAAAAGTACAGCGCGACAGCAAGGACACACAACTGACTCGCTACAGAGCAGTTGCCCGAGTCGTCACTGTATCGAACCGCAACAGCAACAGTAAAGTAGTTGCAACCGTATCTCTTCGTATTCCTTGTACTCTTATATAATCCTGTATCTCTTTGCTTTAAACAATTCACTTTGCCCTCACATGCCAGCGCAAGGTGGTTCATAACTCTTCATTAAAACGCTTCCGCTATTACAACAAGTCCTACCCAGAGTTCAGCCCTGCAAAGATCCTAAGGGTTTTTTCTCAGCCCAACACGCTTCATACTCTAGCCATGGCTACTAAGGCTAAGGTTACTTCAACAGCCATGACGACTCACTTCCATCTCTACTGTGCTCGTTCAGCCAATCGTTGCTCCTCACTGTCAAATCCTCCTCCTCCGCCTCCGCCTCCTCCTCCTCCTCCTCCTCCTCCTCCTCCTCCTCCTCCTCCTCCTCCTCCTCCTCCTCCTTCTCCTCCTCCTCCTCCTCCTCCTCCTCCTCCTCCTCCTCCTCCTCCTTCTCCTCCTCTGCTACTCCACCGCTACTCCGTCTCCTCTACCCCTCCTCTAATTCGTCCTTTCCTATTTAAAAGCTGGGGTGTGTGGCATGATAGGATGATAATGGACTGGCTGGATAAGGTCATGATAATATGATGTCATGGGTCACATGGCATGATTGCCCCATCACATGCATTGACATGTTGGGACACTGCCAGCATGCAAGTGTTGGAGCAGCTTGGCATGGATGAGTCATGGTACACCAGATGCAGTCCCATTCACCCACTCCACTTACCAAGAACAACAGATGGTAACTTCGTGCACTCTCGCGTGGCCATCACTCTCTTTGTTGTCATTTCCTATATGTGCACGCGCGCGCGCGTGTGCACACACACACACACACACACACACACACACACACGCACCACACACATGCACACACAGATACACACACACACACACAAACACACCATACATACATATATGCATACATACACACACACACAAACACACACACACACACATACATACATACACACACACACACACACACACATGAGCACGCTTTTATTATAAGTTAACAAACAAACAAAGATATGCCTACCGAATATAAATAGGAGCTAAATACATGAAAATCAACTTTGTCCTTATTCCCTATGGTCCCCATTATCCATCAAGAACCTCTCGAGTGCATCAACGGTGTAGGTTCCAGCACCAGGGGTAGGCGATGCGTCATGCTCAAATTCCCCTGTATACAACTCTCCTGCATCAATCCCATGTCCCCCAACCTCAAAACCTACTCGGTTGACTCCCAACTGCTCCATTAAGGGGACCGAATTGACATGATTCTCGAAGCTGTGACGGGCTGCACCGTGGATGTGAGAAGATGAAGAGGTGAGGCCCCAGGCAGCAAGTGAAGAGTGTTCCGTGTCCCTCAGGAGCAACAGGTTGGCTGAGGGGTGAGGATGAGAAATCTGACCAGCAGTAGGCTGGTCAGTATCACGAGCATTGTATGCAGGCCTGAAGTCCTCTTTTGCAGGTTCTTGCATTTCGACATCTCCACCACTGCTACCAGGGTTAAGGGTTCCACCACCTGTCCCATAGCCGCTGGTTCCCTTTGAGGCATCTTGCTCCAGGGAGATCCCTGTAAGGGAAGGTGGGAGACGGTGTGGGTGGGGGACTGCAACACCAGCACCAGCTCTGGCAACAGTGACAGAAGCAACATCACCAGCGCCAGTGGCAGCAGCAGCGCCAGTAGCAGCGCCAGAAGCAACGTCACCAGAAACACCTGCCGTAGAGGTCAGAGCAGAGGAGGTGAGAGCAGCAAGTGTCATGGGGGGAGTGGACTGACTGCGGAAGGGCAAATGATGATGGAAGAGAGGGAGCTGCTCTTGATGCTGCTGCAGCAGTTCCAGCTCCTCTTGCTGGTGCACCGACTGCAATTGCTGCTGCTGAATTGAATTCGACAGCTTCTGCTGCTGCTGCTGCTGCTGCTGCTGCTGTGCCATCCAATTATTATCCAAAGATGACCCCTGCTGCCTCTCCAACCGTCCATGCTGCAACACCTCTCGTCCGTACCTCCTGGCCGGTAACCAAGGCGGCTTCTTGATCGTTCTTTGGAGCTCTTGAACATACTTTCTGGCCGAAACTATTGGCTGGAATGTTGACGTGCGCAAGAGTTGCCCGCCCAGCTGTCCAGCTCCCATTGGTCTCTGATCATGGGACTGTGATCGCCTCACCCTGTGCACAGGGATAGTTGAATTCGGCTCAAAAGAGGTGGCCGGGGAGGGTGCCAACGCCGACACATCAGGACGAGCAGCAACACCAGAGACACCAGCCACACCAGCAACAGGTGCAACACCAGCAGCGCCACCAGCAACACCGGCAGCACTGGTAGTATTCAAGCCATTCCCACTAGCCACATTGGTGGCAGCATCAGGAGCAGGGACACCATCCAATGGACCGACACCAACCACACCACCAGCAATGCCAGCACCACTAGCACCACTCCCACCACCCACACCACCTATGTTGCCCACACACGGCAGGGTATCAGGGGCTGAAGTACTAATGACAGGTGGCTCCAAGGGGAAAGATACAGTGTAGCTCCGAGGCACCAGAGGTGCAGGTTTGGAACGATGCTTGAAATGAGTCTTGGGCTGAGGTTCAGACCAAGGAGGGCTGGAAAGCTTGGAGATCGGGGCGCCTTTTTCCAAGTCTGGGGTGTGGCTTCTAAACGCCTGCTGCTCTCTCCACTCTTCTACGGGTAACGCTTCACATATGAGGTCTACAGCTGCCTTGCCCCTACTTCCAGCCTTCAGATTGAGAGAGCTGCGTCGCGAGAAGCTCGATGCATGCTGCTGCTGCCGGCGCTGCTGCCACTGCGTCAGCGCCTGCTGTTGGTCCTGTCCCTGCGGCTGCCCCTGTCCCTCATTCTCCTGCTGCCGCTGCTGCTGCTGCCACTGTTGGCGCCCCTTCTGTTGCCCCTGCCCCTGCCCCTGCTGCTGCTGCTGCTGCTGCTGCTGCTGCTGCCACTGTTGCTCCTCATGTTGATGCTCATGCTGCTGCCCCTGCTGTTCCTCCTGTCCCTGCTGCTGCCGCTGCCACTGCTGCTACTGGTTCTGCTGCTGCTGATGCACGTGTGGAATCACAACCACTGAAGATCTGCGGGACATGGTAAAAGCATACCGCATGCCATGATTATCCCTCTGATACGGCGCAAACGCGGACATCATGCTAGCAGCATACTGCATCATATCAGCATGCCAGCTAGGAAGCACACTTAAAGCCGAACCTGCCATGCTGGGAACCTCCACCTCCTCCTTCGCTTCTTTCAGAGAACCATCCTCACCAGGGGTCATGAATCCCCCAGACACATCCACACTGAAACCCCATGAAACCGTTTGTGGTTCGCTTGGGACTGGCAGCCCTGCTGTTTGCGGCCTAGCCAACGCTTGCTGCCCTTCCAACACTTGTGCCCCTGTTACTGCGTGCTGCCCTGCTGCCCTGCTGTGGTTCCTACTGGAGTAAGACTCTGCTCCATGCCTGCATGAGAGGATGAACCCCCTGCCCCTGCTGCCACACCCACCACCACACCTGCCCCTCCGCCCTGTTGACCCTGTTGACCGCCACGGCCGTTTTCACCCACAGAGATTGTCCCGCCTCCTTGCTGTCTGCTTTCGTGAGGCGAATCCTCAGAGCTAGGCAGCTGGAAGTATCGATCAGACGGCCCCATTTCCATCGCCAAACGCTCATCCGTTCCCATCCTCGTCTCCCCTGCGCCTCCTTCCTCCTCCATCACTCCTTCCTCCTCCATCACTCCTTCCCCACCAGCAGTCTCTCTGCTTCCACTGCTTTCTTCCTCTGAAGTCATCTCCCGTTCTTCCACTCCCTCCCTCCCTACTGTAACACCAACCCCACTCCCTCCAGCCCCATCGGTTTCTTCTATCCACCCCAGCTGCTGAGCAAACTGCTCCGCAAGATCAGAGGTCCACTCCCTCTCACCTTCTGTCAAGCCTTCAAACCCCATCTCCTCCAACCCCATCTCCTCAAACCTGCCCAGATCTGCTCCCAGTGCTTCATGTCCAAGCAACCCCTTTCCAATCGCCGCGGCACTTGGGAGATTCCCTGGCAGTATTGAGAGGCGATCCATGGTTGCGTTACTAAACACAGGATTGTCTTCTGAGGTGTGAGTTGGGGGGATGGCATGGAGACGACTGCTGGTGAGTGCAGCTTCAGGGATGGAAATATCTGCAAAGGTGGATGGGAGGGCAGAGACAGAGGCGGAGGAGGCAGAGGCAGAACTGGCAGAGGTGGAATTAACAGAGATGGAAGGGGCGGAGGAGGAGGAAGGGGCGGCAAAGCTCGAGCTACTACCGCTTACAGTGGAGCTTCTTTCAGGAATGTATACTCCTGCTTTGCTCCCGCTATCACTGCCTGCTGATGTGTCCGCTACTAATCCTATGACTCCTTCTCTTCCCCGTCCTCCTCCTCCTCCTCCTCCTCCTCCTCCTCCTCCTCCTCCTCCTCCTCCTCCTCCTCCTCCTTCCCCTCCTACCAATGCGGCTGACACTAGCTTTATGGCCTCTGATCCTGCACCTGCATCGTCTATTGATTCTGTCACAGCCCTACTTGATCCCTCTCCAAACGGTCTCCGAGGTTCCGCAAAGCTCGCTGCTACTTCCTTACTTGATCCCACTCCGAACGGCCTGTGAGGCACCACAAAGGCCGCTTCCACTTGTCTAGCTCTTCCCTCTCTCTGCATCGTCTGACCCACACCTTCTCCCACCAATCCCCCTGCTGCAGTGTCTTCACCATATACTACCTCTTTCCCTTTCCCTCCACAGCTCCTAGCACTACTGCCCTCCGTAACCTGCGTTACTACCCCATGTGATTGCACTCCCATGCCAGTCTCTCCACCCTCCTGCCCTGCAACCCTTCCTGCTGTTTCAATCCTAGTCGCTGCACCCAATGAGGCTGCAGGATCCGAACTCAGTACCACTGCCCCTCCCCCTTTCTGAAGAAACCTTCCTGGGAAGTTAAGCTTCGCCTTTGCTCCTCGGATTTTGAAAGCAGCTTCATCAAACGAGCGAGCGGCCTCCTCTGCAGAAGGGAACGTGCCCAACCACTTGCGGACCCCGGTATTGGTGTCTTTAATCTCCGCAATGTAACGAAACTCTCCTCGCTTCCGCACTCCCCGGTACTGCCCTGGCTGGTTGTAGTTGTGGCTGCGCGGCAATCTGGTGCGACTAGCTGCTCGCCCTGATGACCTTGCGCCAGTTGCAGCCTCACCTTGTTCTACTAGTCCTTGCTGCAATTTTGGCTGTAGCAGTGGCTGTAGCTGTGATGAGAGCTGCTGTATCCGGTGTGGTGGTAGCTGCACTGGCTGAGCCTGTAGCTGTGGCTGTGGCTGTGGCTGTTGCTGTAGCAGCATCGTTGTGTAGTTTTGCTCCTGCATCTGCTGCTGCGACACCTGCTGCTGTGAGAACTGTTGCTGTGAGAACTGCTGATGTGAGAACAGTTGCTGTGATAACTGCTGTTGTGAGAACTGCTGCTGTGACAGGGAGACCTGTTGCTGTGGCATCTGCTGCTGTAACATCTGCTGCTGCAACATCTGCTCCTGTTGCATCTGTTGCTGTGACATATGCTGCTGTGACATCTGCTGCTGTGACAGTGAGATCTGTTGCTGTGGCATCTGTTATTGTGAGATCTTCTGCTGTGGCATCTGCTGCTGTAGCAGCAGCTGCTGTGACATATGATGCTTTGGCTTCTCCTGCAGTGCCATCTCCAGCTGTGACATCTACTATAGCTGTGACATCTGCTGTGGCATCTGTTGCTATGATATCTGCTCTGGTTGCATCTGCTGCTCTTGAAATTGCTGCGGTAGAATCTGCTTCTGTGACATCTACTAGATGTACTAAGACAAACCCTAAACCCCAAAAAAAAAAAAAAAAAAAAAAAAAACCAACAACAACAACACCAACAACAATTGCCGCAGTTAGATGTGTCTGATTTTGAAGGCCAGTCGATTTTGAAGCCAACGATGCTGCTGCTAGCTCCGCGCACCACTTGTGCTGTTGGAAGCCGGTTTGTAAGGACGAGGCTAGATTGATAAGTTGCCCTAATCTACCAGTTCTGCTACTAGCAGGAACTTCCTGCTGTGCAGGTTTCAAATAGAAATTATTGAAGGCATTATTGAATAACTCCGCGTGGAATCCAAAATTTGCAGGTTTGAAGCAATGCAGCCTAACTTGCCGAAACAGTCTGACATGAGTTCCAACTTCTAGTCCTGCTGTGCTCTGTGGCTGGAACAGACGACTGTAGTGACTATTAGAAGCCAAGCACCTCTTGTACTAGCACAACTCCAAGTTGGAGCTTTGTAGAATGGGCTGGACAAGTATGGGTTGCTGCTTATCCCAACTTGTTTCTGTTGCTCCACTTCAAAATGAGCTCTGGTTATGTGATCTTTGGTTTTTGAGTTTACCACTGGTCTGAGTGGAAGTGGACCCTTGGTGATGGGACAAAGTTGCCAGCCAATCCCATCGGTTGGATGCAGTTCTTTTACTTTCCCGTCACGGGCACGGATCAGGGTTTCAGATGCACGCACACATGTAACACTGCAAGTGGCTAGGCTCTCCCACTGGTTCTACACTTGTGCTGTGAACGTACAGTTTTTGCCGTCACGTTACGGAGACGTTTCAGGGTTTCATTTCATGCGGAATTCGATTACAATTTGCGGTATCCAGATTCGCCAATGTCGCATAGAGTCGACAGATATTGACGAAAGCCCGTTAAAATCTCGTGACGAATCAGAACTGCAGACATTGGAGATGCTGATTGATTTTTCAGGGTAGAGGTTTCGCGCGTTGTTTGCAATATGTGTGGCATGAAATGCTCTGCTGACAGGGCGACGCCTTTGTGGCGTAATGTTATTGGCTTGGTTTTACGTGTTCTGCGCGTTCGGCTTGGCCTGGCCTTTTCGTGGTTTCGGGGCGTTCCACTCCACCTGATTTGGAATCGGCTCAGCAGGGGACACTGTCCACTGGACAGTGCTCCTCCAGCAACCTTGTTGAAACTGCGGGAAATGGAGACTACACCCCCTGAACCGTGCGTAACTGGCAGGCTGATCATGTCCTATTAGTGTCGGATAAATAAACCATTCTGAAACAAAACTTCCCGTCCTAAACCGTGTTATTTCAATCCGGATGTCAGTACGCACGGGACTGGCATCAGTCGTGACGTGGAAGTACACAGTTTTCAACACTCTCGACGCGCCAAGACGAAGTCAGCATTGACGTGTACTGTACACGCTCGACGCTCATAAATTTCAGGGTTTTGAGTTGCGCACGCACCGTTACTGATCATATTTTCTCCCCACGCATCTACAAGGCTTTTGGCGCACTGTTACTGCCCATTTTTCGCTCACAACGCAGAATTAGTGAGAAATGACGAGGAATGGATTGACTAAGGGAAAGTTGGGTACAAGTACAAACCCTAGAAAACTGTACCCCATATGTGCTACCCCACTATAGCCTACAGCAGCTATGTCATATAAATCTGACACACCCCCATAGGCAAAGTGGGGGAGAACAAGGGGTCACAAGACCAGTCAAGTAAAGCAAGGCAAGCTCAGGGTGGATCACAAAGTCACCACACATTCCGAGCACAAGTTCAAGGCCAGAAGGCCAATTCACATGCAGGATTACATATATATATAAGGCTAGACAAGCAAGAGCAGGTGTATATATATATGTAACAGTACAAACAAGGTCAAGGGGTGAGCAAGTGAGGCAAGGCAGGCACAAGACCAAGCTGAGTACAGAAGCACTGATGATCACAAGGCGCAAGTGCCTTGGTGAAGATATCAGCAGTGTTGGCCTCAGAGGCCACGTACGCAAGGCGCAGCTGACCACGCTGCTGTAGCTCACGAGCAAGGAAGTAGCGAAGAGCAATGTGCTTCGTTCTGTGCTCCAGTCTCTGCTCCCGACACAAGGCCAGCATGGCCTTGTTGTCTACGTACAGCACTGGAGGAGAACGAGGCGGCTCTCCGAGGTCAGTCAGCAGGTAGGTGAGCCAGCGAAGCTCCTGTGCAGCCATGGCTCCTGCGTAGATCTCAGCCTCACAACTGGAGCCGAGAACAGAGGACGAGCGGGTAGCCCGCCACGAAACAGAGCCGGAACCAAGGCTGAAGGTGTAACCCTGTGACGACCGCTGCGTAGCCTGGTCGTCAGCCCAAGAAGCGTCTGCGTGCCCAGTGAGGACCACTGGACTCTGCCCTCCAAGCACAAGCCCCATGCCCGACGTACTGCACAAGTAGCGCAACACCCTCTTCGCTGCAGCCATGTGCTCCGGTCTGTGTCTCCCAGGAGCAACATAGCGTGCCAAGATGCTAAGAGGGTATGCAAGGTCAGGTCGTGTGCAGGTCATCAGGTACATGAGGCAGCCAACAAGCTCTGGGTACGGGCCACTCGACTCTACGGACTCATCCGAAGGCAGAGCTGAGAGCGAGTGGCGAGTAGGCAAAGGAGTGGCCTGAGGCGAGGAGTACGTGAAGCCGAAGCGCTGAAGGACCTGCTGCACCATGTGTGACTGAGTCAGGGTAATGGTGCGGCGTGCTCTGTCCCGGGTGATCTGCAAGCCAAGGTAGCTGCGCAGTTCACCCAGGTCTGTGCACGTGTGTCTCTTCTGCAACTCAAACTTCACGTGGGCAAGTCCAGCAGTGTCAGCTGTGGCAAAGACCAAGTCGTCGACGTACACGAGGATGTAGAACGGCGGCAAAGAAGTGTCGGTGCGCAGAAACAGCGACGGGTCGGCAGTAGAGGGAGCAAACCCAAGAGCCGCAAGTGTAGTCCTCAGTGTGTCGTGCCACTCACGCGGTGCCTGGCGGAGACCGTAGACTGGCCGCCGGAGGCTCCACTGGGTGCCAGGAGGAAAAGACCCAGTGAAGCCAGGTGGGCGGCGCAGCCAGATCTCCTCGTGCAGGCTGCCCTGCAAGAAAGCAGTGCTGAAGTCAAGAGAGTGCAGCTCGTAGTCACGGTGAGCAGCTATGTGCAGCAGTACCCGAAGAGTGGTCATCTTCGGGGTGGGAGAGAAGGTCTGAAAGTAGTCAACTCCCTGCCGCTGACTGAAGCCACGAGCCACGTAACGCGCCTTGAAGACGGGCGGAGAACCCGGCGGCCGCTTCACCCTGAAAATCCACATGCCACTGACGATGTTCGCCCCAGGTGGGGGAACCTCGTCAACGTAGGTGCCTGTGGACTTCCAGGAAGCCATCTCTGCGTCCATAGCTGCCTGCCACTGAGAGGAGTAGGGACCCTCTATCGCCTCCGCGTAAGAGCGCGGAGTCGGGATGTCAAGTGCATCCGGGTCTCCCTCAGGGGTAAGCAGTACGGACACGAGATGAGGTGAAGCAGCAGCCAAACACTGGAACTCCTCCTGCCTGTCCTCAAGGACGTCCGTGCCAAGGGCACACTCACCCCCGACGGACGGAGGACAGACAGACTCAGACTCAGCAACAAGACTAGCAGCGTAGTCTAGACGACAGCGAGCAGCAAAGTCGACGAGCTCAGTAACTAGGGCAGACGCAGCAGTGGACTCAAAGGAAGGGTCAGTGACAACAGTAGCAAGGAGACGCGTGACAGTAGGACTGGCAGCACGAAGAGAGTCCGACTCCGGGTCGGGAAGAGCAGGAAGAGAGGACTCAGGAGGAGACGGCAAAGGGGCACGCAGAGGAGCAGTGGACGGACGCAGAGACATCCGGTGCGTGCCAGGGACAGGAGGAGGACGCTGACGCGAACCACGACCACTAGTGCGAGCAGTACGGACAGGCGACGCAGGGCGAGACGCAGGCTCACGACGCTCAGCAAGACCTCCAGTAGGACCAGTGTAGGGAGAAGGAGCAGGCAGTGGGGAGGCCGGCTGTAACTGTAACTGTGACTGGACAGGCTGTGGACACTCTAAGGGAGGAGGAGGAACAGTAGAAGGCGAGAGACCAAGAACCTGCTCAAGGAGCGGAACGAAGTACGGTCGAGGCCGCGCAGCGCCTCCAGAACCAGCAGGGACAGCACCAGTACCCCCAGTGGTAGCACCAGCGCCAGCAGCACCTCCAGCTCCAGTACCTCCAGCAGCACCAGTAGCACCCCCAGCAGGACCGCCTCCAGGACCGACAGCAGTAGCCTCAGCGCCAACACCCTCAGTAGCTCCAGCTCCAGTCGGACCACGAGAAGACGCAGTGGCACCAGCTCCAGTAGTACCCGCAGGCCCAGCAGCTCCAGTACTCCCAGTACGAGCACCTCCGGGACCCGCGGCACCAGCACCCGCAGCAGCCGAAGAACCTCCAGCTCCAGCAGCACGCCTCCACCGCCGGGCAAACCACTCGCGCAGCTCCTGTGGAGAGAGTGGCTCCCGCCGAGACGAAGCACCCGGAGAACCTCCAGGCACAGTACCGCCAGACGCCACGCGAGCGGGCCCAGCTCCCTCAGGCTCCGCACCCCCAGGCTCAGCACCTCCAGGCGTAGCACCCCCAGGCTCAGCACCCCCAGGCGTAGCACCCCCAGGCTCAGCACCCCCAGTCGTAGCACCCTCAGGCTCAGCACCCCCAGAGTCAGCACCCCCAGGCTCAGCACCCTCAGCAGCACCAGAGTCACCAGCAACCTCGACAGGCTCGACTGCGTCTACCTGGGACACACCTGAAGGGGCAGGACCCTGAGGGGGAAGGGGGTCTACCGGGGGGGGACCTGGCACAAGGAAGAGCGGTGGCGGGGGGAGGGACGGAGTGCGGTAGGGGAAGAGGCGGTAGTAGGGGACCGACTCGTCAAACGTGACGTCCTGGGAGGACAGGACACGGCGAGAGGTGGGGTGGTAGAACTGCCACCCTGGCGCGTCAGGGGGGAAGCCAAGGAAGACGCAAGGAGCAGCACGAGGGGACAGCTTGTCCGCAGACAAGTCGCGGACAAACGCCCGAGATCCCCAGACACGGAACGCAGACGCATCGCCAACCTTCCCCGTCCACAGCAAAGCTGGGGAGGTCTCCGGCATGGAGACCCTGGGGTGAAGGTTGATCTGATGCGCCGCGTACCGAACCGCAAACGGCCACAGAAAATGGGGGGCAGCCGCATGCATCATGGACGTACGGGCGACGTCCATGACCATGCCAATGCGGCGCTCAGCAATCCCATTTTGCTGTGGAGAGTCCGGAAGCGTGAAGGTCTGGCGGATGCCTCGTGCACGACAGTAGGCTCGCAGAAGGCCAGAGGAGAACTCTCCGCCTCTGTCAGAGTGCAGACGCAAAACAGGAAAGTCCGAGCCGAAGCTCTGCCTGAGCTGGAGACGAGCTGCGCGGATCCAGTCGATCAACACCTCAGTGACATCACCCTTGCTGCGCAAGGGGAAGACTGTGGTGTAACGCGAGTAGTCATCAACCACCAGCAGGAAGTAGCGCTCGTGACCCTGTCCACGGACGCGGGCCGGGCCCCACACGTCCATGTGAAGCGTCTGCAGCGGGGCCTCTGTCGGAGGAAACTGGGAGGAGTGAGGGGCAGCCCGCTGCCGCCCCTCGACACAGGGGACGCAGGTAGGGGCAGGCCCCGGAGGAAGGGGAGGGAGGGACCGGGGAAGACCAGAGACAAGGACACGGGAGGCCATGCCTCGGAGACGAAGCAGGGAGGGGTGACCAAGGCGGTGGTGCCAGAGGAGAGTCTCGTGAGACAGGAGGCGACACGAGCAGGGGGCAGACTCAGGACCAGACCTGGACGCCGCAGCAAACACCTGACCCGACGCAGCTACCTGACCAGACGCAGTGACTGTTGGTGCAACCCTACGGTTTGCACTCGGCTTGTTGTCCGTGTGCGTGAATGTGTGTGTGTATGGAATGGTATGAGGGCATGGGATAATATATATTTCATGCTTATAATTGTGTGTGAATGTTGAGTCATGATGTCGAGTGTGTGTGTCGAGTCAATAGCGAGTTATCGCTAGACGCGTGTTACGCGGTCGTTTGTGTCTCGCGCGCGGTTTCTATTTTGTCGTGCGCGGTTTCTATTTTGTCCTGTGTCGAACGTTCGGCGTGTCGCAGGTGTGTGCAGCAGACCCATCAAGAACTCAAGGATGAGTTTGTGATGAAGAGCCCGAGCCTTGGTGTCAAGCCTCAAGTGATTTCGAAGCTTGCCAAAAGGGTACACCTCAAGATATTGAAGATAGTTACATTACTTTGTGTAGTGTAACATTTCACTTGGTGTAGGCCCTAGTGAAGGGTAGTTTCGAGACCCTTCGTGGTTGGGGACAGTGTGGCACTGTTCCACATCACTGTACCTCGGCTCTTGGGGTTTGTAGGAGCTGGGAGTCATTCCCAACTCGTAACTCTTCCTATCTTGTGTTCTAAGACTATAGTGGCTGCCATAGTACCGTTCGTTCAAACCGACGCTGTGTCGTCAATTCTTTATCAAATTGTGCAATCTAAATTGCTAATTGTAGACGACGTGAAGACGCTCCAGATCCAATTTGAATCAAGTCATTTGCAGCTGTGAGCAGAACGCTATCAACGTTTGAAGCCGCTGTGCAGAAATCCGTCTGTGCTCTCTATCTTTCGTTTTAGGCACATTCAAGGCTATTGTGACCATAACAAGTGGTATCAGAGCCCCTTGGAGCAGTTTCGACAATGTCTGGACCTGAGGAAAGGGGTGGCAGAGGTGCTGGTGGCAGTGGAGAAGCTCAAGCTCAAGGCCAACCCCGTGATTCAGCCATGGCGCCCATGCAACCAAGTCTTGGCCCACCTAGGGATGAGCCTAGGGTGTTTGGGCTTGACAAGTTCAACGGTGACAACTTTGCTGAATGGTCCTTCAAGATGGAGAACATCTTTGACCACTATGACCTGCTGGAGGTGATGGAAGGAACGGAGAAGCGCCCCGAGAACGACCCGGAGAAGAGCCCGTGGGTGCGGAAGAGCGCACAAGGCTATCTCTTACTTGGGCAAGCGTTGGGGAGCAGTCAGATCCGTCACATCAAGCCATTCCAGCGTGAACCAGAGAAAGGACCAAAGGCATGGGCTGCTCTCAAGGGTGTACATGCTCCTGCAACAGCGGCGGTAGCGGTGGTGTTGGAACGGCAAATGGCGGCACTACGAATTGAAGAAAACGAAGCGGTTGAAGAAGGGGTGCAGAAATTCTTCGACTTGTTGACGCGGCTTGAGGGAGCTGATTTGAACTACAGTGAGCTCCAAAAGAAGACCAAGTTGCTGGCCTTACTCCCAGAGTCATGGTCCTCGCTCATCATCAACCTTAATCGCGACTTGCCCCGCCTCTCGCTTGAAGACGTGAAGCGAGCTATCCTTCAAGAGGATTTCCGTCGCCGTGAGTTGGCGAGTGCGGATGGCGCTGGGGCAGCGAGCATCGGCCGTGGATATGGTCGAGGAAGAGGCAGAGGACGAGGGGGAGGAAGGTTTGGTGGCAGCAACTTCGGCGGAGGCCGCAGGAGTGGCGGTTACGGCAGCGACGACAAGAGCTACGGACGCGGTCGCGGCCGATTCGACGGCGAGTGTCACTATTGCGACAAGAGCGGACACATGTGGCGCGACTGCTACAAACTCCCTGATGGTTGGACCCCTGCTCAAGGCCAAGAGGGTAGAGGAGCAGGAGGAGGGAGAGGACGAGGCCGTGGAGGCCGTGGCGATCGCGGTGGCGGAGCTGCAAACATGAAGAGCGGAGACAACGACAAGGACCCGAGCGACGATCGATACCCGGGTCTATTCTACTTCGTGTCGACGCAAGTACCGGCTGGTCCAGAGAAGGATGAAGGCTTTGAGGAGCCAGCAGCTGTGGGGAAGGTGACCCTACACCCCCTGGACTATTGGGTGATTGATAGTGGCGCTACCTATAGCATGACACCTCGCCCGGACTTGCTCACCGAACTCGAGCCGTCACCGGTGAAGCATGTCACATCGGCTTTGGGGCAGCGAGCAGAGGTGAAAGGCATGGGCAAGGCCATGTTCAAGGGTGCTGATGGGAAGATGGTGGGCCTCAAGAACGTGCTTTGGGTGCCCAGCCTTGCTGCAAACCTGATTTCCGTGCGGCGGTTGGCAAAGGCCGGCATGGACACGAACTCGAAGGGAGCCAAGACCTACACCGCAAGGCTTGGCGATCGAATTCTTTGGGACCTTCATGAGGACAGGGATGTCTACAACGAGATGTGGCAGATCCCAGTAGTCCTTATGCCTAAGGAGAGGCAAGTGGCAGCAAGCATCAGCACCAAAGGTGGAGCGGTTGGTAGCGGCGATTGCGCGGACGGTCGCGCTAAGGAGGAGTCCAAGAAGTGCAATCTTGGAGGGACCAGCAAGCTTGGTGAACCTATGGAGAGAGGTGCAGCAGCCAAGGAGCAGCAAAAGGGTGAGGAGAACCCCGAGGCAGCAGCGGAGGAGGACTACGGAGAGAGTATGTGGGGCGCTATTACGAGCGCGGCATTCTCCAATCCAACTTCGGGTACGGGGGAGTGTGATTGGCTCACCTTGCATCGGCGCATGGGGCATGTGGCCCTGCCCATCTTGCAGCAGCTAGTGAAGAATGAGATGGTTGCTGGCATACGTGTGAAGGGGGAGCCCGATGAGGTGCTTGGCTGCCCGACGTGCATTCAAGCCAAGTTCACCCGGTTTCCGTTCCCTAGTTCGGAGGCAACGGCAAAGGCACCACTTGATGAGGTGGTGATGGACGTGGTGGGCCCCCTGAAGCTTGGAGCTGCTGGAGCTGAGTATTTTCTCACCATTGTCGACGTCTACACCCGCATGACTTGGGTGTATGTGCTGGCCAAGAAGAGCGACGTGGCTGAAACGTTGAAGACGGATTGGTTCCCGATGGTGGAGCGGCAACAAGACCGTCTAGTCAAGTCAATCCGCACCGATCGAGGGGGAGAGTTCCTGAGCAAGGAGTTTGGGTTGTGGCTGAAGAAGAATGGTATTCGGCACTCCCTCACCATGCCATACTCCCCTGCAATGAACGGCATCGCCGAGCGAGCGAACCGCACAATCACGGAGGCGGCACGCGGGTTGCTCATTGAAGCCGGGCTACCCGACTATTTCTGGCCTGATGCGGTGCGGAGCGCGTGTGTGGCCAAGAACAGAGCCTTGACTCATGTGGGAGCAGACAAATGGGTGCCCTATGTGGAGTGGCTAGGAAGGAAGCCAAAGGTGGATATGCTTCGGGTGTTCGGGTGCATGTGCATGGCGCTCGTGCCTAAGCATCTTCGGCACAACAAGCTTGGTGCCAAGGCGGTGTGGGCCGTGCACTTGGGCATGGCTCAAAACAGCAAGGGATGGCTTCTTTGGGACCCATTCACCAAGAAGTTCTTGGTGAGCAGGGACTGCAAGTTCATGGAGAACTTCATGTACAAGGATTGGAAGGCGGAGAATGAGGCGAAGATAGGCGTGCGGTTTGGGGAGGTGAAGAGTTCCGGTTTGGAGCATGTGGAGCTGCCTTTGGAGCTGAGCAGCGGCAGCACAACCACAAGGCAATCCTCCCTTGTGAATGGGGGAGAGGAGGCCAATGATGCAGAGGAAGAAGAGGAGGAGGTGCAGCAAGTGAGCGAGCGTGCACCGTCACTCCCTTCCCGTACTACGAGTGCTCCACGGATTCGAGCCACACCGCAGCAACGCCAAGGCCTTCAAGTCCCTGCAGCTGAGGAGGAAGGAAGGGGGAAGAGGAGAGTTCAACCCCCTAATAGGCTGACCTATGATGCGCCGGGAAAGCAGGGAAAGACAGCCCTGGCCGGAGCGGCAATGATGGTCGGAGACGACGAGGAGAGTGACTACGAGGAGTGTGCCTTCGCGTTCTTCTCTCCGGTGGAGATGCCGGGAGAACCAGCAACTCTCAAGGAGGCTTTGGAGAGTAGTGATGCTGAGGAGTGGAAGAAGGCCATGGAGAGTGAGCTGAAGAGCATCGAGGAGAATGACACGTTTGAATTGGTGGAGCTACCGGAGGGGCGTACGGCGATAACGTCCAAGTGGCTCTTCAAAATCAAGTCGGATGCCGACGGCAAGATCGAGCGCTACAAGTCTAGGCTTGTAGCCAAGGGGTACCAGCAGAAGGAGAAGGTGGACTTCAAGGAGCTGTTTGCCCCTGTGGTGAAGCCGACGACGCTGCGAACCCTATTCGCGGGAGCCGCCATCAAAGGATGGGTAGTAAAGCAAATGGACATCGTAACGGCATTCCTTAACGGCATCCTTGAGGAGGAGATTTTAATGGCGCAGCCAGAGGGGTTTGATGATGGTAGTGGCAGAGTGTGGAAGCTGAAGAAGGCCCTCTATGGGCTGAAGCAGGCCCCTAGGCAATGGTACATGAAGCTGCGCGAAGTGTTGGAGGGGATCGGCTTCACTCCCTCAACGGCCGATCACTCCTTGTTCATGCTTGGCGAGGGGGAGCAGAGGAGTTTCATGGTGGTTTATGTGGATGACATCCTCATTTTCTCACCCTCTTCTGACCTTGTGAAGGAGGTAATGCTGAAGCTTCAAGACAAGTTCAAGTGCAAGGCCCTTGGTGACGTGAGCTTCTACCTTGGGCTCCACATCGAACGAGATGTGGAGAAGCGGTGCATGCGGGTGCATCAACGAAAGTACCTGGAGGCATTGGCTGCCAACTTTGGGCAGAGTGAAGGCCATGTGGCTACACCCTTTCCCTCTGGGTTCAAGTGTGTGAAGGGACCAGAGGAGGAGAGCGTTGGTGAAGAGGAGAGGCGCCGATTTCACTCGTTGGTGGGCAGCCTCATGTATGCGGCGGTAAACACCCGACCGGACGTCGCGTTTGCTACCGGGCAGCTGGCTAGGGTTGTGCAATGCCCTAATGAGGAGCAGGTAGCAGCTGGAATGAGGGTGGCCAAGTATCTTGGCCAAACACCGACCGTTGGGCTGCAATACTCGGCGGCGGCACAAAGGCGCCAAAAGGGCGCGGATGGTGTTGAACCCGGGCGTTTGTTCCTCACCGCCTACTCGGATGCTTCATATGCATCAGAACCAGAGGACATGACAAGTGTGGGAGGCTTCTTTTGCTGTGTTGGTGGAGGCCCAACTGCTTGGGAGAGCAAGAAGCAGGTTGACCAAGCTTTGAGCTCGGTGGAGTCCGAGTACATGGCACTCTTCCGTGCCGTACGGGAGATTGTGTGGCAGCGGCGTTTGTTGGCTGAATTGGGGGAGGAGCAGCAAGGACCTACCCCACTGTACTGTGACAGCCAGAGTGCCATTGCTCTTGCTAAGAACCCTGTGTTGCATGGACTCACGAAGCACATGAGGGTGAAGTGGCATTGGACGAGGAGCATGGTAACCGCGGGTGAAGTTGAGTTGCGCTACGTGAAGACCACGGGGCAGCCGGCTGACATGATGACCAAGAGGCTGGTGGAGCAGCAGCATTGGAAGTGTTGCAAGCTGGCTGGGATGGCTCTGAACTGAGAGAGCAACATATCCTAAGGCCAACAATCCGAGGGGGAGTTTGTTGGTGCAACCCTACGGTTTGCACTCGGCTTGTTGTCCGTGTGCGTGAATGTGTGTGTGTATGGAATGGTATGAGGGCATGGGATAATATATATTTCATGCTTATAATTGTGTGTGAATGTTGAGTCATGATGTCGAGTGTGTGTGTCGAGTCAATAGCGAGTTATCGCTAGACGCGTGTTACGCGGTCGTTTGTGTCTCGCGCGCGGTTTCTATTTTGTCGTGCGCGGTTTCTATTTTGTCCTGTGTCGAACGTTCGGCGTGTCGCAGGTATGTGCAGCAGACCCATCAAGAACTCAAGGATGAGTTTGTGATGAAGAGCCCGAGCCTTGGTGTCAAGCCTCAAGTGATTTCGAAGCTTGCCAAAAGGGTACACCTCAAGATATTGAAGATAGTTACATTACTTTGTGTAGTGTAACATTTCACTTGGTGTAGGCCCTAGTGAAGGGTAGTTTCGAGACCCTTCGTGGTTGGGGACAGTGTGGCACTGTTCCACATCACTGTACCTCGGCTCTTGGGGTTTGTAGGAGCTGGGAGTCATTCCCAACTCGTAACTCTTCCTATCTTGTGTTCTAAGACTATAGTGGCTGCCATAGTACCGTTCGTTCAAACCGACGATGTGTCGTCAATTCTTTATCAAATCGTGCAATCTAAATTGCTAATTGTAGACGACGTGAAGACGCTCCAGATCCAATTTGAATCAAGTCATTTTCAGCTGTGAGCAGAACGCTATCAACGTTTGAAGCCGCTGTGCAGAAATCCGTCTGTGCTCTCTATCTTTCGTTTTAGGCACATTCAAGGCTATTGTGACCATAACAGTGACTGGAGGAGACCCAGTGGTCAGTGTGTACAGGCTCGACCCTGGCCGACGTGTAAACGTGGCCAGGTGTCGGCCTGTCCGAGCGTCCGTGCAGTGGGTCACCCGCTGGCTCGCAGGAGTGAACTGGTGAACCCCCGCATCCTGTAGGTCAGCACCACTCACCAAGTTTGTAGAGAACGAGGGGAGGTAAAGACCAGACAGGGTGCCAGAGGGGGCCGCCGGACACGGGAGGACAGTGGAGAAGTGAGCAAGGACAGGACCCCCAGAGGGGTCTGCCAGAGAGACTGCAACTGGCCGACCAAGCGGCGTGAGTGTGGTGCGGTCTCGAAAGAAGGAGCGAGAAGCCCCCGAGTCAAGGGTGAAGGTGTGGGAGGCCGAAGCCGACGCAGTACCTGAGAGAGCAGACTCACCAGCACCTGAGGAAGCAGACGCACTAGCACCTAGAGCAGCAGCCTCGCTAGCACCTAGAGCAGCAGCCTCACCAGTACCTAGAGCAGCAGTCTCAATGCCCGGGTCGGGCGGAAAACACCGGTAACAGTCACCCTCATCACTAATAGTCACAGCATACATGGCAGCAAGAACAGCATCAAAGTCAAGGTCAAAGATAGCTACTCCCGCCCTAGACAGCTCGCCCCAGCGAGGGATCTCAGTGGCCTCAGGGAACTGGTGACGCCAAGCGTCCGTCAGGCGGCCAAAGCAGCGCTGGGTGGAGTGCGCACCCCCGCACTGCTCACCCGCGCGGTCGCCGGTGCGTAGGACGTAGGTGCACGGACCAGTACCCCCACCCCGCTGGCGTGCAGCGTACCACTCACGGAGCTGCTGAGGGGGGGGGATGTCCCGAGTGCGCTGCTGCTGCTGCTGCTGCTGGCGCTGACCACCACCGGAGCCAACCCTCTGCGCAGCGCCACCCCGACCAGCTCCACCTCCTCCGCCGCCGCCTCCTCCACCGCCGCCACCTCCGCCACCTCCGCTCCCACCGCCACCGCCGCCTCCGCCTCCGCCTCCACTGCCGCCACCAACACCTCCACCCCCGCCACCACCCCCACCGCCACCCCCACCCCCTCCGCCGCCTCCACCGCCGCCTCCACCGCCCCCGCTAGCTCCTCCAGCGCCCCTGCCCCCCTTGCCCTTGCCAGGGCGGCGTTTCCCGCTAGGGGTAGACGCCGCACCGACCGACTCTAGACCAACTAGGTCGGCCGCAGCAGCAGAGGCAACAGAGGGCAAGAGAGGAGAGGGGGAGCACCCCTCAAAGACAGGGGCACGCGGGTCACCTCGAGAGGCTCCTACAACGACTATGCTCTTCTCTGCTGCTAGGAGGCGCTCCTCGAGGAGGTCAACGGTGAGGGTGGTGGGGCAAACAGAGAGAAAGTGGTCCCTGACCGGGCGAAGGGTGTCAGGGAGGCGGGTGACTATGTAGTAGAGGGTGATGTACATAGGGGGGGGGTTCTTGGCGCAGAACTCAGCGGGAAGGGCAGCGCGGTAGCGAATGTCACTAGTGCGGAGGTGCGTAATGAGGTCAGCAACTGTGGGAAAAGCTGCGAGGTCAGGGAAGAGGTACGGCAGGATGAGGCGGCTAAGTGCAGCAGTGGCAAGGGAAGAGTAGCGTGCAACTACAGCGTCGTACAAGGTCTTAGCACTCTTGTACTGGCTAAAGTGCGCACGCTCAGAGGTAGGCAAGTGGCGACGCACAGCAAGACGTGCAGCAGCATCGCGTGTGGCCCACTGTGAGCGAACAGTGGCGTCAGCATCAGCAGCGGGGGCAGGAGATGCACCAGAAGTGAGGTCAAAGAGGGAGAGACCGTCTGCCCTATCGCACTGTAGGAAAAGCTGCAGGTCATCTACCCAGACGTCAAAGTCAATGGCCCGACCCTCAGCGTCAAAAGCGAGGACACTGGAGGTAGCCATGACAGCAGTAGACTAGCAGCACGAGCAGTAGGCTAAGGGCAGCGCAGTAGTAGAGGTGCTGCTCTTACCGGGCAGGCGAGACGGACCGAGTGTAGAGGACAGGGCGACTCGGACGGCTCGGCGGCTCGGCGGCTCGGCAGCACCAGCAGCGCGGCAGCTCAGCGACTCGGCGGCTCGGGTGGCTCGGCGGCTCGGGCGGTTCGGCGGCTCGGCGGCTCGGGCGGCTCGGCGGCTCGGGCGGCTCGGCGGCTCGGGCGGTTCGGCGGCTCGGGCGGCTCGGCTGCTGCAGGGGCAGCGGCTGCTGCTGCTCACAGGACGGCGGCGGCCGCTGCTGTAGCGGCGGCGGCAGTTGCTGCTGCAGGGGCGGCGACGGCCGCGGTTGCAGTGGCGGCGGATGCTGCTGCTGCTGGGACGGCGGCCGCGGCCGCTGTAGCGACTGCGGCTGCTGCTGCTGTAGAGGCGGCGACGGCGGGCCGAGAGAGGCCGCGAAGGGCGGCGGACGGGCCGTGAAGGGCGGCACG